GGTAATTGGCAGGGGGATGATTTCCCAGGGGGTTATTGTCCTAGAACCGTCACGCATATGTGAGTATGTGTGTTTGTCGTTTGTGTTGATTTTAATGGACGCTGAAATAGAATGTGCTGCATCCGATCTATATAAGATCATGCCGTTCAATTTGTCCCCTTAAATAATTGTCCCGCTGGTAATTGGCTGCCGATTGGTTTGTTGGAAGGCTCAAGCAAGCACAGGTAGATTATGGTTTCGATTCGTTCAAATTCGATGCAGGTGAGACACAGTACCTTAGCAGCTACCACACCAAGGAGCCGATGATCAATCCCTGTGACTATACAACAAAATGGGTCCAACTGGCTGGACAACTAGGAAACTTGATAGAAGTTAGATCTTCGTTTCAGATATAAACATTTTTTTTACAGCTGGTCACACCAGCAGTCCCTATAAGGAGAGTCCCAACTAGGCCAACCGAATTGATTCGTTGCACTTAAAGATAAACTTGAGTTCTGGTAATGCGATAGCATTGTGAAAGAAAAGGTGTGGAATGGATCAGAAAAGTTGATCATATAGCATGTAAGTAATGGTGTGTAATGCAAGGTTCTGGAGTCATCAAAATCATCAACTCTTTCTTCCACTCGGTATTCACCAACCAACAGGTTTGTCATGCTCGTATGGAAGGTTCCTCACACTTTCCTGATATCGGCCATCTACACATTCATCGTCCTGGTGTGGCAAAGCAGCTGTCAAATCTCAACCCATCCAAAGCTTGTGGGCCAGACGAACTTCCACCTAAACTCCTCAAGCTTGTAGCTGACGAGATTGCTCCTGCCTTAGGATCCCTTTTTCAGCAGAGCTACAACTCTGGCACTGTTCCAGCTGAATGGCAGCATGCATTGGTAACACCCATCCACAAGTCCGGTGATAAGTGTGATCCAGGAAATTACAGACCTATTTCCTTGACCTGCATCTGCAGCAAGCTAATGGAACACATAGTGCTCAGCCATATCTCGAAACATGTAGCTGCCAACAACATCCTGGTAGATGACCAACATGGATTTCGGCAGAAACTTTCCACCACCACACAACTCATCTCTGCTACCCAGGATTGGGCACACACCTTACAATGCAAACAGATGTCATTTTCCTGGACTTCCAGAAAGCTTTCGACCGAGTACCTCATCGCCACTTGCAGACCAAGCTCGAGCATTATGGCATAAGAGGAGACACATTACATTGGACTATGTCGCTACTTTCCAACAGGCAGCAAGCAGTTGTTGTCAAGGGCTCCCGGTCATCTTGGATGCCTGTTACCTCTGGGGTACCTCAAGGTTCAGTGATCGGACCAGCCCTCTTTTTGCTGTACATCAACGACATCACTGCAAATATCCAGTCCAAGATGCGCCTTTTTGCTGACGATAGTGTGATCTACAGAGAAATTCACACTAAGAATGACACCTCCATCCTTCAGCAAGACCTTCAAACCTTGTCTGACTGGTCAGCGAAATGGTTCATGGCTTTCAATGTCAAGAAGTGCGCCTCCCTTACCATCACGAGGAAAAGAACACCAATACAGCATGACTACCGGATTTCCAACGAGATAATACCCAGGATAGACAAGTACAAGTATCTCGGGGTAACTGTAACCAAGGACCTTCGATGGAATACACACTGCCAACTCCTACTGAACAAGGCCAACAAAACCCTTGGGTTGCTGCGGAGAACCCTGTCACCATGCACCAAGGATGTGAAGTCAAGAGCATACACAGCCCTGGTTCGACCGCAGCTAGAGTATGGCGCTGAAGCCTGGAACCCCCACACTTCTGGTGCTGCCGAAGGTCTGGAAAGGGTACAGAAAACAGCTGCTCGTTTTGTCTTCCGCGACTACCGAAGATCCACGTCAGCTACAGGGCTTGTTTCCCAGCTGGGATGGGATAAACTGCCCACACGTCGTCCTCTAGCACAAAGCACCATGCTCTTTAAAATACACCACCAGCTAGTCAACATTTGTCTTCCCCATCTCATAACCAAAGCTACATACATCAGCAGAAGAGACCACACACTCAAGCTCTCTGTTTCTGAGGCAACAATAGACTCCTACAAGTACTCATTTTACCCCCGCACCATTCGCATCAACTGGAATCAACTACCATTCACTGCAGTTACTGCCCCAACAGTTGCTGCTTTCCAGATGACCGTCCTCCCTGTCATCAGAGGGTTGGAACCTCCTGTAGATTCCAGAATGCTGTAAACCATATAGCAGCATGATTTTTTTTACTTGCACGTCACTGTTTTACTGTATAAAGCAATTATACACCCTTTTGTTGTCTGCACCTTCACCTGCTGTCACAACACATCCCATCCCAGTATAGCTTGGAAAAGCTGCTTCAGGGATTACCTCATCAAGTATCAAGTATCATAAATTTGGCAGAGTCTTGGTAAAGTAACAATCACTTACACAGAAAGATGTATATGGGACAACACACATGGTGTCGGGGCTAGTACTACCCTGATTTCCTTATCTTTCTATGCTAATTACTCAGCCAGTATACATTTTCTTCCAAAATTGTTGGCACATGACATTTATTTGTAATCTTGAACATTCAGTGTAAGTTTCGTTAGATTCTGTGAGAATTCATTTTCTTTTTTTACCAGAACTCAAGTTTATCTTTAATGGTAAGCTGACTTCTGCAGGGGTAATATTATTATACATCCACATTATTATCGTCAATAATAAAAATAAAATCGTTGTCACGTTTCATTTAGATGCCATTGGTTTAATTTGAGCTGTTTCTTCTCGCAAAGGGTATGGTGTAAACCTGGTGTTTTGAGTGCCTGTATACACAACTGGTAATTCGTGATAGACTGCATAAACCTTTGAAGATAAACAGAAGACGACGAATAATATTACGGACCTCTAGGTCACCTCCGGAACAGGGGTTAATTATGATGGTCCTCTTGAGTAGTTCCCCAGGGGTATATCATTAAGGGAATAGTTCCTTCTTTTCACTTAGCTACGGGTGTGCAACCTTAATGTCTTTCCATTTTATTGGACCTCGCAACCCCCATCATGCCCATCAGTATGCCTAACATTTAGAACTTTCTCCCTCCAAGTTAGGCAGCAGCTTTCAATAGCACGTAGTTGTCGCGTAGCCAACAAGTACAAGTGTAGTTTCAATAAAAACGGAGTACATAGAGCTAAGTTTAAAAAGGGAATATACATATATATATATATATATATGAAACAATAATACTCATGAAAATGAAATAAATTAATGATAACAATAATTAACATATCAATCGGTTTTAGTGGACGAGCTGTATAGGTTTATTTTATCCTCAAGTATAGTCTCTTCGTTCTTCTTGATGATAATGAAAGGAACATAGAAACAACACAATTTCTTTAGAACAACAACCACTAAAAAACAACTACGAAATGCATACCTGGAAACTAATGTATTTTATGATTATAATATTGTTTGCGATGGTTGCTTTAGAACCAGCCTAAAGCTGGTCATTATGTATCAAGCTACCTCAGTGGCGGATCCAGGGGGGGGGGGGGGGCCGGGCCCCCCCCCCCCCCTTGAGAAAAAAATCATGTAAAATCACGTGATTTTTACCTTTTTGGGGGTTGGGCCCCCCCCCCTGGCGCTCAAGGGGGGGGGGGGGTGCAAATCGAAATTTTTTTGAGGATCAAAAAAAAAAAAAATGTGCTCACTACCCCCCCCCCCCCCCCCACTGAACGAATTTTTGGCGGCGCGTTTTTCAAATTTTCGGGAGCAAAAAAAAAAAAAAAAAAAAAAAATTGTGCTCTGTACCCCCCCCCCCCCCCCCCCCAATGAGTGACTTCTCGGCCGGCGCGATTTTCAAATTTTCGGGAGCAAAAAAAAAAAAGTTGGGCCCCCTCCCCTAAGAAATCCTGGATCCGCGCCTGAGCTACCTGAACAATAATGTCATTGGATTTCATATATTTATAGTTTCATTATATTTTCTTTATCTTTGGAAAAAGAAAAGCTTACATGTACAACTGTTTTTTCTATAAACCACATTACACTTAGCTATTTACACACTTGTATAATCAAGAACTACGCATGTAAGGCATTATCATTTTTCTATTACACAAAGACGTGAATATTTCAAAGTTTACTAATCTTCATTCTTCGTTATATACAGAATGAATTTGTTAATTGTAGAAGCCGTGATAGAAAAGCCAAGCGGCCAAGCTTATATTAACGTCTATCGTCATAAGTATCATTACTTCATCATCAAACTAATAATAGCATTAGTAATAAAACACAGCTACAAAATTATCTGTCTATGAGACTTATAGCCTATTGTTAGTAACATATTCTGCTTTCGGCAAAGACATGTGACATGAGATTAACAACAAACTTGTCGTAGACATCATTTCTAGACGAATATGTCTGTTCGTAGGGAATGGGTGCTAAAAAGGTGTATCAATAAATTATATCATTATTCCTTTCAATGCTGGTAAGATTGAAAAGAGATTGCTATGGCAAAAATAATTGACGGACATGAACATCACAGATTAATCTATTAAGAGGTGCATGCAATGTCTCAAAATCAAAATCTGCATCATAAGGTAGTGCAACATTACTCCGTTCACATCATTAGAAATGCCTACTCAAGTTTCCACAACATTTTATGTAACATGATTGACAGCAAATAGATTTTATTGAGTTGGATCCATTGTTGCGTGTAAATCGTGAACAATTAATAATATTTTGGGTACTTAGTGTTAAGTAGATCTAGACTCGGTGACTTTCTACAAAGACGAAACGTTACCCATTCGTCCGTTTTACTGTACACGTAGAAGTAGAACCCATTGTGCAGATATTAGGGTAATATCAAGAGAATAATTGTTTGTATGTACCGTGCATGACCAATTCTCATGGATTTAATGGCTATGTTTTCTACTAAATCGGGAACGAATCATAACCAATATTTGTTTAATTCTAGACATATCTGATCAGGGCTGTTAATAAGCCCGGAAACATTGATATTTATTTTTGATGTTATGGCTAAACAGTTAATAATAATGCTAATAATATTCCTGGAATTCTACCTCAGTCACACCCATAAGACAGACACCATTTGAATATTAGCCAAACCGACACCAGACCGACAAGTTCCAGAACAAAAATATCTAATTGACAAAAATCGGTTTGTCTGGCATTTCTTGGAGTCAGTTTGATTTGGTCTGGCGATGTGACTAAAGGTATTTTCTTTCACATATCTGATGTCTCTTTACATAAATAAGTTTTAGATATTGAATAATATTGATATCAAACAATACAGGTAATTGAAATAAATTTCCTTTAGAACACTAAATGAGTTTTATTTCATTTGTGTTTATTATTATTTGTACATTGATATGACGGTGGATTATCCAAATTGTAATATTTGCTTTATAAATAGATATGTTCAAAGGTTCATAGATTCTAGATAATAACAGAGAAGATCTGTATGGTATCACTAGTTACTAACTGTGATGCGTCCATCCATTATGATGGTGTATGATGAATATATCACAACGCAGATATTGTGTATTGAAACTAATTTAATGTACATTTACAATTAAATGGTTTCATTAAATCACATCGTCTGTACTGTATATATTTGACACTATTGTGCCTAGCATGATTATCAGTTGCAAATCCGTGCGGTGTCACAATTATTGATTATCATTTTGGTTGCACCTGTCAGATATTTGTAAAAAAACAATTTCTTATTTATACCATTGTCATGCCAGTAAAACTTAATAACCTTTGTTTTCTTGAGAGGCTAAGAGTGGACACCTGCATGTGCAGTCCCTAAGTAAGATAGTTCTTGATGTTCAATGTCATAAACAAATTGTATATAATTGTCTACCATGCGAACTTCATATTGTGGCCTCTCTTTGAGTCACACTTCACATCATCTATTCTTCAATCTGCATGATGTTTGGATACTCGATGAGGCCGTCGTCTTCCTCGATTTCTCCCTTCTCCTGCTGACTCCCTTCTGGATTCTCAGCTTCAGAGAAGTTGTTCTGCTTCCCCAGATCATCCATGTCAATCGAACTTATCACGAAAGGGACTTCCTTCCAGGCTTTGGGAAACCACTTCTTACCCTTGTCATCCTTGAGTGTAAAGTTCTTGATAGCAATCAACGGAAGCTCCTGCTGTTGATATACCACCATGGTGCCCCATTTATGTTGGCAATTGCCACAATGGATCTTCTGCTGGTGCGTGAATCCGTCGATTATTGGCTGCTTCTTGAGATCAATGAGCTTCATCTTGTCAAGGAAGAGGTCACTGATGACGACGTGGTGCTGGTTTCTGATGGACCTGATATCATCTAGACAGCAGGATTCTTTGAAGCACTTAATGCAATGGAGGACTACGCCCGATTTCTCTACTTTGTTTGCTTTGGTGATTCGCGCACGATCTTTTTCCCGCTGTCGTTCTTTCTGATCGTTCTTCTGTTCCATCAGAATCTAAAGAAAGGGATTAAAATGCATAAAAGAGAAATATCAAATCACACATGTACTTTCGTTAAAGAATTAACCATTGCAAAAATTTTAATGTCGAGTCTTTCCTCATACATCGACCAAAAACAAATAAAAGCTACAATAAAATAAAACGTTTTGCTTGCTGACTTTTTACAATTTTCTTAATGTTCCTTGTACCCGATATATTTGCGGATTTATATGAATTATTTGGCAAAGAGGGAATATTTGGTAGTATTTCGTATTCTTGCATTCACTGTATTCAAACTATTAAGGCAGTGTACTTTTTAGTATGTGCCATACGTTTGAAAGTGTTCCTGTAGGCCAATAATGAATACATTTTTTGGAAATGGGATTATACACGAAACTGACAAATTTTTTCGCATTAATCTTGCAATGTTATTATTATGTCTTACCCGATCATCAAATGCTTTTTGATTGACTAGAGTGGAATCAGCAATGCTTTTAACAACCTTGTTCATCATCTTCACCCGTATGATGTTCTTGAGCTCACGGTCTTGAAGCTGGAGATCGGAATTCACGATGACGAAGATTTTCCCGTTAAATTTGGCCCGGCTACGACCTACAACACAAAATGAAGATGTGTAAAAGAACATGAATGGCTATATTCCATTGGCCAATCCAGAGTTTTATGGTGGGGGGGGGGGGGGGGGGGTAGTGAGCCCACTCTATTTTGGCCAACTCCAAGATCATGCAATACAGCAGTTTTGAGATGCCACCTCGATTTAAAAATAAGATATATTTATATATTTTGCCGGTTTTGCCCATTCCTAGAGCATGCTAGCGGACACCCATATCAAAATTGAGAGCTACGACTGTCAATGTCATTCTTCTTCTTCCTTTTGAGTACAGACCTCTGTATAGAGTATTATCGTATTATCAAGCCTATATACCTTTAGTTTGGACATGACCAATGTCGCTGGTCACGTAGTTGTATCTGAAGACCATGTTGCATTCCCTAATGTCCAGACCTTCTTCTGCGACCGATGTGGTAACTAAGATCCTGCACTTCTTATCCTTGAACAACTGTAGATTCCTATTTTGTTCTGTTGACGTCATACCTAGGATGCGTATTAAAGATAAAAATGTGTAAAATCTGCATAATTATTATTATTATTAGGTATTTAGCTAGGCTATTCATACTTAACTTTATCACAGCGCTTACAACAATATGCAAAGAACGATATAAAAACAAATCATAACATTGAACAAACAAATAATAGCGAACCAAGTAGGAAAAGGGTACGTTTTTTTCTAATGTTATATCTTTCCAATACTATGAACTTCGTACGGAATTGGGATTAATAATTATATCTTAAGAAGTTGTCCTAATATACAAGATAAATAGAATCACAACTCTACCTTGATTACCACTTCCTATCAACATGTCAGCTTTGATGCCATTCAGATCAGGGTCTTCATTGAGCCACTTCACCAGAGCCTTGGCAGACGCTCTGGTCTTTGTAAAGATGATGCTAAGGGACTCCTCATTCTCTGCATATGCCTTCTTCAGTTGCTTGCCAAGCTCATTCAAGACGGGGTTGATACTCATATGCAGATTAGCGATTCGGTTCAAAGTCTGAAGTTTATCTGGACATTCACGATTAAACAAATGCCTTAATAACTGACTAAGATGGACACCCTTACAAAAATGTACCATGGTAACTATGGTACTTTTGTCCAAATCACCATTCCCCATGGTAACCATGGTTATCATGGTACCAAAACAATGAAATACATTGTTTAATGACCCAATGTATTTCATTGTTTTGGTACCATGATAACCATGGTTACCATGGTGGATGGGAATTTGGACAAAAGTACCATGGTTACCATGGTACATTTTTGTAAGGGCAAATTACGGACTTATCGAGAATATGAAGTATTAACATCTGAGTGGAAAATATAAATATAGATATTATTAACCAGCAAATAATTAACAACACTATGACCCAATATTTCAGTTTAATGTAGATCGGTTTGGAATCCATTGACCTACTAGTGACATGGTTTTACTGCCAAGTACAATTTGATATTTGCTATTTAGATCTGTACATAGAAATGCTATTTGGTCAATCACAACATAACTTTTAAATTCAAGTTTCATAAGTCTAGTACAGAGGCTGAAAACAGTGAAATTGCATTAAATTCCTGATTTTTGCGGGATGTTTGTTAGCCGTTTGATCTCATTGTCCTCAGATTGTTATTAATATATTTTTCCCTGTATGAATATATGCATTTTATCTTTAAGGATACCGTACACATGGCAAGCTATAATAAGATCTAAAGTCTAAAATCTTAATTACCAGTACGTACCGGTACGAGGTTGAGTTTCGACAACAGAGTAGTAAGTTGTACTTAAGTGAGTAAATAGTCGGACAACACATACATTTCTTTCAAGTATAATGTAAGTAAGAGAGACACAGTACCAGTGAAACTCGCAATCCGCAATACAACTTTATTCTCATGTGTTAAGTTTTATGTACATGTATCTATTTGTGCAAGGCCCTAAGGATAACAATGTAAAAATCACTGGCTATGCCACCCTGTATTTAAACAAAAAATACATTAAATAAATAAAAAATGTAAATAAATTGACCCTGTGTATTTCAAGTAATTCAGTAAGTTCTAAAAATAGACTCTAAAATACAAACAATCCTAATCGATACATTGATCACCAACCTCTGAACATTTTCTTAAGGATCATATCAGCAGGGCCTGAAGGACTACTCCTCTCCTCTTCATTGATGTAGTCCTCCATGGAGGAGATGGCATCTGACGTACGTGCATCACGATTTATGAATAAACTGTTGTTGTATTCCTAAACAGAGAACAATTGCGATGGCTCCATAATAATGTTTTCTTGTAAATGTTACAATCGAGTGTAAAGCAAACTCATATGGCGAGGGACACACTAAAAATTTATTTTTTAAATGGCTTATCATTTTATATGCACGTTATCAGTTTGATACTGGATAAGTGCTTATAATAAGTTATGAATATCTGTGAATAGTGTATCCAACATGTTTGTAAAACTGCTACGATATCTACTTGTTATACTAATCAAATTGTTTAAGTGATATGTATTTATATGTAAAGATTATGTCTGTTTATATTAACATAAATGTCTGTATACATCACTTTGTATATTGCAATATTGTTGAAATACATTCTCCCATTTGCATGAAAAATAAATCAGACAAAAAAACATCTTCACGTTAGCTTACCCTCAGGTAGTTCACACATGCCATTAGTTCTCTCCTGTCGTCTTCATTTTCTATCGTTTCTTGAATCTTCTTCTTCAAATTGACCACACCCTGTTCATAGCTTTGCGCGCCACGACGAGATACCATTTTAGTGAATTCGTCATTCCCCTCCACGAGCGCTCTTCCGGCTGTGTAAAAATAAAAAGCACTCATATTGTATCTTGTGTACTCGTAATCAATTATCAACTGTAATTACCCTATTCGTTTAAGGGATTTAGCTACATCACTTTTTAACACTATTTTTGAGTATATTCCCCGTTACCTTTGTTAATTTTATAAACGTTTAAAACATTAAACTACAATTTATTTATTCACATTGTTAAAGCATCTAGATAAAGAATATACATTATTCATAATCAAATCACTTTCATCTTCACTTGAAAGATTTTTTTTGATGTATGTTACTGTTAGTACCTATAGTTGCTCCCTGAAAATTGGTTAAGTATTCTGTAAATTGTGATTGGGTGAAGAAAAAAAATGGCATCTGGTTTAAATCTAAGTGAGAGAGGGAGGTACCTTCTACGAGTTTGATTTTATCTTCGATGCGTTCCATGATGACACTGATCTCACGGAAGTAAGGATCTTCAAGAGGTCTTCCTTTCACTATTATCTGAGCTGTACGATAAAAAGAAACACAATGTATCAGTCTCTCTGTTCCTCTTAAAAAGAAATAAAATGTTTTGACTGTCAACTTGTAACACCTCTTTTGAGCAACTTTGTGTAGGCAACTGACTGGTCGACGATAAATGAAAACATTATACATTTATTATTGACAGAGTTTTTATAAAGTTATCAGTTCCTGTAAACTATTTTCACGAGGTAACATTGTACATAAATACATGTAAGTATGATTCCTCTAACATAATAAACTCTAACTTATTTACTCTCATTTTGCAGCATCTATAGGAAGAATATACATCATTAAACTGCATAAAATAACCACTTTTATCTTCACTTGAAAAGTTTTGTTTACATAATATATTAACTCTCGTATGTTATATATTAATATTTTATTATATCAACTCCCTAAAAGTCACACACACATATTTACTTATATAATTGCACAAAAGGAAAATTACTCAAGTAGAGTTCAGTGTCCTTATCATTTCATGAAAATATGCCTTTCCTTCTTTTTCCCTGATTCGAGTGATAAATATTTCTCGAATATCTTGACTTTTCACAGATTCGACAAAGTAAGTAAGAATTTCCTAATACATAGGATAGTTTGGGACCATGAGGGGTAAAGCGTTGAAACAGATGAGGATTTCTATAGGAAAAGTGATAACATCAACTTACTTTCCTTGGGTGAGTTACTCTTCGCTTTGAGCTTGTCAGCATAGATCTTAGGTCGTGAAATTATGCAGTCTAGGTTAGCACAGAGTTTTGTGATGTAGCATTCAGCCTGCACCATGTTCTTCGAATCCCCAACACCAGGTGATGCTGTCATTCCAAGTATCTTATTCATGTCAAATAGGAAAGAAGCGCGTTTCAAATATCAAGGATACATCTACATTATAAGTACTGTCACCTAAATACTAGGACTGATAGCAATGTTTAGAGTAGATGTGTATGATGTATACATCATGCATTTTATTCAAACACTAATTTACTATAAACAAACAAAAAATTACGAAATGTAGAAAAAACCTACTGGATAGTTCTTAACCTACTAAGGAAACTACCAAATACGGGGGAATGATTTTTCTTTAAGTCACCTATAAACTCTTAAGTTCGAGGAATATCTACATAATTTATTATTATGTTGCTAATTTTGTAAAGGCTCAAATTTCAACGCACGAATCATTCTCAGGAAAAATAGATAAAGTCTAGGGGCCTGTAATCACGTTTGTAGAGTAGTTCTTAATATACCACCACTATCAATGTGTACGTGATTAAGAATATGCCCCTGATATGTGTACCAAATTATGTACCATAAATGTATAAGAAATTATGCTTCCATAAGTAGACTGGCTTTCTTCAGAAAAATAGGATACATTTCATTTCATTTATTTCAACATGCAGTAACAACATGTACTTGCTTCGGCCAATGGCTGTTCTTCTTCAAATTCGTGCATAAATAAAACACATACATAGTTTATAAGAAAAAAAAACATGTACATATTAAAAATAATGACTATACATGCAAATAATGATATCATTATTTGTATTTAAAAAAATATATATATATATATGCATGAAATAAAATGGACGCAGATAGTTATATTTTTTTTATATTTTGTATTTATTAACATTTATTTCCTTCTCAACAGTACAATATGAAACACAATGTAACAATGATTTCAACAGAGTATACAGTAAGTAACGACTACATAAAGTACATTAGGGTTTTCATTTTACAACCCATATGAAAATCGTAGTTATTCATTACCTGTGGTCTTGGAAGTTTCGGAGTGTTCAGCTTTAGGTCCCTGTACATCGCCATCAGAACATTGTATGGATTAGATTTCTGTTGTTTGAAAAGACATAAAGAGAGACATGATTGAAGTACAAGTCGTTTATAAGCCCCTTCTGACTTGCGAATTAATTTGTATCAAAAAAGGAGTAGAAGTGTTTATTAATACCAATTGCAACAATTAAGCTTATGCAGTCTTCAACGTTTTGCAATCAACATCAAAACATAATGACAGATTTAAAGATATTAATCGTCCTGGCCATGTAAAAAAAAAAATACTTTACAAATGCCGTTAATGCGAGGCTATCATTATTAAAACGAGCGTAACACCAAACACATAATTTTGCTAATCAATTATAAAGACCTCAACTAAACAATGATGACAAAAAATAATGCTATAAAATATGTCAATTTTTCTTATGAACAATTCGTATCACATTGTTGAACAAACAATACTGGTTTAATCAAATGCACATGAATATTTCAAAGCTACATAGGTCGTTTAGATACGTCGATACCTTCCTCGATCTTAGTCTTATGGCAAGGCAAGAGGTGTAGACGTCCGAACTGTGCAGGTAAAAACATTTGGCATATGTCATAGAACTAGATCCTATTGACCACCCTGATGAATTTAATTAAAACAAGTGGGGGTCCATATTCGAATGAATTGGCAAATGCAACAACCAAGTAGATTACATTACCTGGCAGTGATGACATTCGTCTAGGACAAGGAGTGCGATGTCGGAGAGTTCAAGCTTAATGTTCTCATCTTTGAGGGCATTGACAAGCACCTGTGCCGTCAAGACGGTGATGTCGTTGGCATCGATGACAATGTCCAATGGCACATGGTTCAACTCTTCACCGCTAGCTCCAGCGACCTCACACATTCCCCTCAAGTATTTCAGACACCTGTCCTTCTGTTGTTTCACTAGGGGAACCTGTAGTAGAACGATGGATCTTTATATGATGATGGTTTGTTTTTCAGTGATTGCCATGAAAGCACGACATGTTCGTAATTGGTAAACGACCAAGGGAACGAAGCGACGGCTTAAATTTCTCTCCGAGAGACATTGTAATGAAGATTCATGCCTTACTAAAAGGCACTAAAACATTGTCTTAACTTCCAACCAAGACTGATCGAGTTTCGCATATCTCTACGTTCTAGCCTTTTATTTGTTATTACAAGAGAATGGAGCAAAGGACCTTTTCATCAATGTTAGTAGTTTGGACAAAGTTCGGAATATAAAGGATATTTTTCCACGTTATTTAGATGTTTTTCAGGAAAGGATCAAGGGGGCAATTTCCGCAATGTCCAGTGGGTTCTTGTAGAGAGAGGAGTTTGTAAGAGTACTAGTATTTTGTTCGCTACAAATACCCTTCTCTATCATAGATGACTGGTGGTCCATATCGGTTTTACGCTAAGAACTTTCTTCGGGTTTTCAAAAAAGGGATGAAACATTTAAATAGTTTTAAGATGTTCACTGCATTTTATAATTATCCTTTTCAGGGGCTCTTTAAAGATACACCCTCTGTTTTTATATACACAAGTATGAAGGATTTCTCAATTTTGTAAAGGGGTCTTTACATATGACAATAATTAAGGATATTTCTTGATTTACTAGAGATCCTTGCCAAAAAAAAAGGAATTAAGATCGTTCTTGCGCACCTCTACAATTGGTTCGTACACAAAAGAGGAGTTTTTTTTAATCTCTGTGCATGTACCTCATTCCGGTCCCAGTCAAATAAAGACTTGCGATATATCAAAATCAATCGCAAGTCCTCTAATCAATCGCAAATGTGCAGTCTCCTATCTCTTATGTACATAGTTGCGATTGATAACAATTGCAAATAAGTTACGATTAATATAAACTCTTTATAAGATGGGGCCCTGGGGTCCTTACAAGATTGAAATGTGAATCAATGATCTTACCTTGTTCACTACGAACACACTCTTCTGCTTTCGATGATTAGTGGCTCCTACAGGGTTGCGGGCCAGGAACCGGCGACTTATAAGAGCGATGGCGACTTCTGTCTTTCCTGTCCCTGTTGGCAAGACCACCATAGCGTTCTGTCCCTTCAATGCTGGAGTTAGGACCTCCTCTTGGTAATCCCGTAGTTCTAATTCCTCTGCCTTATCGCTTGATGGACACACGTTGCCGACCATTGGAATGTCCTCGCCGTTACCTTTATAATAATTACCATGAATACCAGAAGCAAGACGTAATTCCACTTTACTAGTGAGGTTGCTCTGTCGATAGGCGTATTTAAAACGTTACTCTTAATGGTTTTCCCAATCTTGTTTCTTTTAATCTGCATTCACACAGCTACCTAGCAATTATCAATTCCCTATGTTTACCGGTGATTACCCCCCCCCCCCCCCCCCCTCAAACACTCGCATACGCACAGGCTGAAACTCACACACACATTTGTTTTTTAATGGCTACCTTCGCCAGCCGGACATTTACTCTGTGTTAAATGACAGGAGAAAACCGTCCTTCTGATTCTCATGAATAAGTGTCTAGTGATTCACTATTTCAAAGATGATAGTCAATCAGATGGAGTGAAACGTAACATTATATAAGTGTTTCGCAAACAACACGAACTTTGATTTCATGTTTATTTGTCCAATGTACGTTTGATATGGTATTTTGTTTTGCTAGAATAACAAAGGCTCAAATGTTGAATACATTCTGTAATGACACAATAAATAATATACATGATATAATGGATGGATGACTAATTGTAAAACAAAAAATTAAATCCAATCTCATTCTCACCATCGTCAACTTCGTCATCTGCACCGATTCCCAGAGCGAAATTTTTCATTTCCTCCATCTCCTTGGCGAGTTTGGGTGAGCCATTCCTGTCTAGGGCCTTGATGAACTCTCCAAAGCAGTCCTCTGACTTACGATCCAGTCTTAGGAGAAGTTCTGAGGCACCGGCACAATTTCCCTCACGTTCAACCTGCTCATAACGTTATTATATTTCAGATTACGTTTTCTTGACAACATTACGTGCATGAAGTCAAATCTGGTTGGAAATATTTATGACAGCAAGAGATAGCGAATCAAATCATGAATTCCATGTTTAAGATTTGTAATCCATTTAATATCTTTAATTCCAGTTGTATTTTCCTTGAACGACCAGGTTGATTCCCATTGAATTCATTTTAAATCACTATTATTAAAAAGGCCTACCCCTTTAGTGAATTTGAGAAAATCACTTTTAAAAATACTAAAAATAAACATTGTAAAACAATAGAGTTAAGAGTGGGATAGTAACGTATTGGAGGGTCAAAAGACATATAACGATGGGAATTAAAACAGCTTAGTATTTAGACAGGGAAAGATAGAATAAGCAAATATAAACCATTTTCCCGTACCGTTTTTCGTATTTTCTCGACGTCTCGTTTAGTAAGATGTTCTTCTAATGAGGTAAGAAGGCTTAGAGGCTCAATATCCTCCAATCGATGAGCGTAGAGCCAAAGAAAGGAGCGATAATGTTCCCTTTTCTTGGTGTTGAATTCAGACGTTCCTTCCAGATGTTCAGCTATTGCGTCGTTCTCTGTAAGACGGGAGACAAACGAAAGAGAAGAACATAAAGAACTTGAATCACCAGGGGCAGAAATGCAGCGCGACCAGCCCACTATATTTCAAGAGTATGCGTTTCTTTCTTCCTTTCTCCCTTTGTCACTCTCTCTCTCTCTCTTTGAAACAAATATTTAAATATCAACCAGCCATATACAAATATATCCCTATGCCAGTTCGCCTCAATTTACCAGTTATGTATTTATATGACATCAAGAATAAAGGCAATGATCTAGGATAAATAGGAAAAGAAAAACAAAAGAAGAAAGAGGGGAAGAAGAAAAAGTAGAGGAAAAACATTCGGGTGTTCATTTTTATGGGGGCTGTGGGGATGGGAATAACGGAGATTCGAGGCCCGGTGGCCCATTGGCGTCACCGGCGTAAAACGTTTCCATATTAGCAGTTCAAAATATATCTCGATTTTGGCAAGCTTTATTAATCTCTCTCTATCTCTCTCTATCTCCCTTTCTTTCTCTCTCTCAATATCCATCTCGTCTGATCTTTGATTGTTTCTTACCTGAAGTAAACAAAGCGTCGATCACAGCACGATAGAGACCCCTTTTGTCTTCCTTAAAGTCCAGTGCCTCCATGAAACGTTCTGTTATTATTTTTCGTCTTTCGCCTGTTTGAACCAACTCTAGCACTTCGTTGAATCTTGCTAAGAATAACAAAAGAATAAGAAAATGAAAATTTCACAGTAGTATAAACTTGTTCAGCAAAATCAATACGGAATATGAAGGTATAAAAAGAAACTACTCGAAAAGAAAGTAGAAAAATCAGAGAAGCAGCTTGGTGAAATTTGAACAAAATCGGACAAAAAGTAAGAAAGTCATGAATTTTAAAGGTTTTTAAAGGTTATATGTTCAGGCGTATGGGAACTTAGTAGATGGCCAGTAAATAATGGTGACTGTATTTTGCATTACCTTTAGATGAGATACCTTTCGGGAATTTTGTCCTACTTTCATTAAATACATGCATAACACGACGATATGCCCCCACCCCCCTATCCAGCATCCAGGATACGATACACAATGATGTCAAATATATATATTGATGTCTATAAAACTACAACCTATACATCTACATTATGTAGGCCCTATTGTAATTTGTGAGAAACTGCATGAGCCTGCTGTTTGTTTAACACCATTTTCAACATCTGTCATAAATGCAAGGCTGACCTATGCCATCAACAAAGAAAGTATGACGCAAAAAGAGAATCGGGGTAAAACTAGGTCACCGACCGAAAGCCTGACGTGAAGTGAATAGGGGTGTGCGGAGTTGCGCGAGTTACTACAGAATTAATGTACAGAACTGAAATACATTTTCTACTGATGGGAAGTTATGATTATGTACTTTGTAATTATTGAACTGGCTGAGGCTAAGTATGGAACTATATATCAATAGCTTTGTAGCAACAAGGAGTTTTAAGAGCTGGAGACCCAACTGCCAACAAATTATTCCAAGCAGCTGCCGTTTTCGATGGTTGCACGATAGAATCTACTGGTGTGCTGTTACCTTTGATGTCCGAGGTTCGAAGCCGCCAATATCATTTTAAAGCTTGAGTAGGCTCTAGTGATTTTTTTAAACAAATAAATATCCTTAATATTTCACTTTTTATTTGAAATAACAAGGGGGAAAATCGAACAGATTATAAAATATGAATACAAAAACCTAATTGTGTCAAAAGATTTGCTTAGATTGTATGATAGCAGCTGTAATTTGTGAAAAATAACATGTTACAGTCCTAAAACCTGCAATTCGACACTTTTCCGATTACTTCCGGCTCACGAAAATTAAAAATGGAATTTGTTCATGAACAGTTCTTTATGATGTTATATGTCTGATTGGTGCCCAGCACACATGCCAAGTCGAGTAATTTTGATTAATATTTCAGGAAATTTTGCTCCATTTCCTTTCGCTTGCCTCCTGTAAAGGTAAGCACTGTGTACTGTTCGTATTATCAGACGCGTGGTAGCGAAAATTAATTATCATTACAAAAGCATATTTCCCTTTGAAAGTGACCCGTCAGTTTGCAGCTAGGCAGGAATCTTTTGTCTACGTATCTGCAAGGAACATCCAGCACATGCCTGACATATTTTCTTCTGGCGGCATCGAAGATGGTACAAAGAGAATGAGCTAGATAGGACTCTTATCTCTTAAAAATTCTTGGTAGCAATGATCGCTCAATGAACAATCTGACAATAGGTATTCATGAATGATTGATTTTTCATTTTAAAAAAATAGGGTATGCCTATATCTCGCAATGTTATCATTTTAGAGATCAATATTTTCATAACCACATGTTGATGCATGCGATGTGACGACTAATCTCACAATAGACGTACTTTTATGCACAGGAGCAGAACATTATTAGGCAAATTCTTTGGGAGTTGAATACTTGAATTCATGCCTAAAAAGTCACTCCAAAGTTGTGGAAGATTTTTTTTTTTTAGAGTGGATCCCACCGTTTTTGGCTTTGAAGTCAACTCCCCCCCCCCCAAAAAAAAAGAGAAGTGATTCCCAATATGACTCCCAAATAAGTGGTTTTCCACTGCTGTATAATTATGTACTGACTATGCTGAAAGTTCTCCGACTGATCATACACCGCACTTTTGATGGCTTCTTTAACATGTTAATTCAAACGTATTTCAGAAAATATGCCAAAATGCTTAATAATTGGTTAATGTAAAAGATATAAAACATAATCTTACCATCATCCCTGCCAAACTGTATCTTGAGAGCTTCTACAATATCCTTGACATCCAGGACCTCTATGAGAAGAGGTCGATAGACCTCTGTAATGACCTTAAACTTATTCTCCTCCGCCTCCTCCCACGCTGGGGCATCCACCGAGGCCGCGGCCATCACTTCTTGATCCTAAAGTCTCAACTTCCTACCAAAAGCAGCAAAAATATATCACGACAGACTTCTGCTTGCTATAGCGTTCTAGTTGCAATGCAGTGTACCGAGTTGTATCTCTTTGCTCTGAACGGGAAAACCGAGAACGTGACATGTAAGTTTAGTCTGTCTGCTGGTTAACAGCTCAAATATACCAGTGCTCCTTTTCCTGTCTAGTTTCTAACTGTCTGTCCAACAACGAGTACTCCACACATAGATAAGAACGGCTAGATAAGATAAGTCCTGCTAACATGCAAGTAATACATTGGCTTCAGTTCAGTTCAGAACGCAATAAGATGCTCTATAAACTCTTGTTTGTGATTAGACAATATCCATGATCCACCCGAATACAAACCAATAGGCAAGCGTGATACATGTGTGAAGAAACTTCATGGAGGGGAGTGTCGAGGTTTTGTAATTCAGTACGTGGGAATCCCCACACTGTGGTGGTATAGGCTATATTTTTCTGACTCTGTTAAGAGATCAAGATCATGTTGATGGACATTTAAGCAGCGATGTTGTTTAAATCATTACACATTATTTTTGTTATAAAGACAATTGATTTTGTGCACAAATTTGGCTGACATAAAATCTCAGACATCCTATTTAATAGACAAACAACGATTCCGGTTAGAATTGAGTATGAAAATAAAGACTACGAGATGTTTTGCAGTTGACGGCTGGGGAATCCCAGGTTTCTAAACACGGGAATTTCCAATGGCGGGGAATTTGTGTGTTGACATTCAGCCAGCTTCCCCCAGAGCATGCCCAGGTTGCAGATTCATAACAGGTGAACAGATTATACACTGCCTGTGTGTATTCGACAATAATTGTAGCAGACATATCGTGAGGCGCGTTGCTCAATCTCCGACTCGAGCTTGTACTAAAAATCGACGATATAATACTACACATTATTTAGACTATTAAAGATTAAGATTATTTCAGCTTTCCTTCTTGAACTAATTTGATCATTATCACCCTAGAATTTTCCTCTAAAAAGTGACACTTCAGAAATATGACGGTATATGCAATAAAGTATGAGAACATAAATAGCATAATATGCGCTAGTTGGATCAGTATTATCTTGACCCCCCCCCCCCCCCCCCATTATACTTCTGCTTTCTCATATCGTTTTTTCCATAGAGTCCTCCTGGCTCAAAGCAGACGATATTTGAATATATATATTGGTTATTATGTCCGTGCTCTGTAATTCTTCGTGTATTACAGTAGTAATGAAATTTAGTGTGTGTGTGGTTTTTTATACCTCAAAACCATGGTAGAATTGTATGACTTATGCTTTCATATTATGAATGGCAATCTTCTTGAAATTTATTTTCCGTGCTCAGTTAAATCTATTATAGAATTTTACAAAAATAAACTAAAAGAAGAATGATGACAAAATGATGACTAGTACATGAAACAGATCAAAGGACATTGATCTAATTTAAGATAATCTGGAGTTATATTCAAGTAATCACAACTATGTCGAAATAGAAGCTATATTAAAACTGTCAAGTCGATTTGTTGCAAGAAAATAACCTTAGGGTAGTAGCAAGATACATAGGAGCGGTGTGGGTGCGACGATGTGATTTCGCAATACCATGCGCACGAAGGGGATTCCCCGAACTGACTCAGCATCAGTCGAAAAAATCTTGGCATCAGTCATCAGCAATAGTCTTATACATGTATTAGCATGTGCGTGTCGAACCATTGTTTGTACGCACTTATCATGTTATAGGCATATACGTAGGCCTATGTCCGTATAATGTATAAAGTAGGGTCATAACCATTATCCAGCCACTATTATATAGCTGACCCTGCCACTGCTTAAAACTAAAAGCAACGTTTTTTTTTTTTAATTTTTTTTTTTTTTACTAAAATCGACCGATTTGCTTTCCCCGGCCGTTTGGAAATTGTATGTCAGAACTGCATATTACGAGATTTTTTATGGTCGATCCTACCATTGTTTGGCCGTAGGCCTATTTGAAATTCTTCGAGAGCACCGATAAATTTGGTATTTTGTTTTCTCAATATCCTTAGCGTTTTAGAGCCCAGTTTGTACAAAAATTCTTATTTCAACACTAGGTTTCACAATGGTAATGAGAATTTTAAATTTCATAATCAAATCCTGTTGAAATATAACCAACACTTTGTATTACCTTTAAGCTTGACTCAAGAGTCACATCAGTGTTAGATTAGAATCTGTGATTGCCACGTCATTCGAACAGAAGAGCGAGCAATACTCGATTCAAATGTAATTTAAATTGAATTTTGTCTTCATATTTAAGTGATAAATGTAACCATAATGACAGGAATAGCATTATTTGTGTTTGCTGAATTGTATCCTCTAGTCTGAATCGCTTTAGATTTCATTCACAGTATGTTAATTATCCTTTCAAACTCCCGTTAAAACTGTAATTTTGAATTTAGGAGAACAGCACAGAACTTATTACATACTCGTAAAAAGCGGTGATCTGTCCTTTGTATCCTCTTCCAGCAGTGATACCAGAGGCACATGCCTCACTACCGTATGTACGCGTACGCAGGGGGGGGGGGGTCGAACGAACCCCCCTCAAATTTGTGTATGTGTGTGTTTTGGAGGAAACCCCCCTCAATTTTTTGTTTAATACAAAAAATTGTGCTAAAGGGTGACCAAAACAAGGTGACCTTACCCCCCTCCCCCTCCCCCACTCCCCCACCCCCGCTATCCAGCGTACGCCCCTGTGTACAAATATCACATTGTTTTTAAAAAGTGCGAAGGTGATAAGTACCCCGTTCACTTGGTATTGAAAAAATATATATCATTTATCATCTCAAGTACATTAAACATAAAATGTATTTTATATCAGAGGATTAATGATTAACTGACAACATCCTATTATGTGGAGTAATCGTTTAAATTTGCACTAAAACAAGCTAACACAAGCTTCAGTTCTTCTTTGAAAAAATATAGATGTGGTAAATGGTGGCATAGCTATTTTCAACCAACCAATGGATGGATTTCAAAATAGCTTTTTTTTATAGAATGGGGATTACACACTTGAGCTTTCTCATGAAAATGCCATAATTATGTTAACATGTTGCACAACAATAATCATTGTTAACTACGATTTAGCTACCCCTTGAGAACGACAGCCCTGGGGAATTAACATTTCCAATATTTTCTTATTTATTCCTTTGTTTTGTCGGCCTCGTGTGCTACGGTAAGAAGGAGGAGCCAGGGGAGGAGGAGAAGGACGAGGAGGAGAAGGAGGATTTTTGTTAATGGAAAGAGATCAGCTTGAAAAGAAAAAGTAAAAACAGGATATAAAAAAGGCTCTTCAAATTATTCTGTTTATCAATTTGATGTCAGAATCGAAATTAGGCCAAGTACAATTGAATTCTAGTTGGAGGAGGGGGTTCCATGTTATTTAATATTTGCTACTTAGTTCAGGGGTTTGTTTCAAAAAGCTGTTCGTAAAGTTACGCATGACTTAACGAACGACTTATATATGAAGTACCATATAGGATGCCTACAGTTTTTAGTTGATGAAACACCCCCCCCCCCCCCCCAGATGTTTTAACAAAGTGTGACTATATTTCCAATAACCTCAATTAAATTATGGCAACAAATGGTTTTTTTTAATAAGAATGTTAATCTACATCTGCACAGTTCAACTTTAGTTGATGCAGTTACTAATGATTGGCATTCCCATATAAATGATTGTTATTGGGTCAATTTCAACAGAAAATGTTTAAATTCAAATTTCATAAGTCTAGTACAGCGGCTGAAAACATAATGAAATTGCATTACATTCCTGATTTTTGAGCGGATGTTTGTTAACCCTTTTGTCTAATTGCCCTCATATTGTTATAAATATTTTTTTCCCTGTATGAAATTAAGCTTTTCAAGGATACCGTACACATGGTACGCTAAAACCTATGCTTCGTATTCCCTTATCTTTTTCTCTTCTCCGCTTCATAATTGCATCTGTCATATCTATGATCCCGTTTTTATTTACCTTTTTAAATTCCGGCCCCTGCGTTGTACAAGTTTTTACCCCTATCTCTCTCTGTCTCTCTCTCTCTCTCTCAATCCCAAATACTTCCCTTTATGCACTTCAAATTTTCATTTTTTTACAACCTCATACACATTGATAGACGTATTTCAATAACACATCATTTTTATTAATATGCAAAAATATAATCAACATAAAATCGTATAAGAAACCATTACATCAACATCATGAACGCAAAGACTTATTAGAAAGAAGAAACTGCGCAACTAATAGAGCAAACTTGGTACAAATAGTAAGTTACATATGATATCAAATGAAGCATTTATATTTGACATTCATCATTAAATTGTGCAGAGCTTTGCATGGCAATACCATAGTTACATCGAATTCAAGGGAATTTACGAGGAGAATTAAATCAGGGAATCATTGACGACTCATGAACTGAAATGTAATTCAAACAGTTGAATATGATACGGAGCGTGTAACCTACGATGAATATATTATTGTTATTATTATTATTACGGTGAATGTAGGATGTACTCTGCATTGAACACACTGGCACTTAAAAAGTTTGCATGCAGACGTCTACAAAATTACAAATACCATTTCTAGAGTGTTTACAGTTTGACTATAAGTAATGAAGTGTAGGCCCTGATCAATGACCTATAATGAAATGGAATGTTTTACACTGTTGTAAAAGAGGCTCTGAAATCAAAATATTTATGCTTATGAATGTAATAAACTCCCATTACAGAAGCTTACTCATATTTTGTGTCATTTTCTATAGCAAAAGTGTTGCATATGATACGCATCATGTGCACTTATCAGATAATAAGCATATGAAAGGCTTTAAGATAACAAATGATATTAAAGAAACAATGTGTAAGATATCCATTTTCAACTTGTTATCACAAATCAAATATGTACCTCCGAAATTTGTGGCTGTCAGGTCAAAACGCTGACGAAGTATGTAGATGACAGCTACAATTCGTGCAGTGCTCTGGATAAAATGCGTTATATATGTAGTTGGATATGATATATTGGAAACAATACAAGCAAATGTGCAGATTTATGCACAGAAATCTAATCTCAGTATAATATTACATAATATATATATGCATTGGACATTCACCATTACAATGTTCAGAGTTATGAACAAATATCCAAGCTCAGTATGACATTATATGAAACAAGTATGCATTGGACATTTACCATTATAAAGTACAGACTTGTGCACAAAACTCTATTCTCAGTATGATATCATATGAAATATATATACATTGGACATTCACCGTCAGGATTTGCTAGTTATGCACAAAAATCCAATTTAAGTATGATATCATATGTTATATTCTGCATCAAAAATTTGTCGGCTTCTGATTGGTTGAGAGCTCGTCACATGACCAAAAATATTTGAGCTATTTTTAGAAAGTACTATATGAGAGTACTATTTTGGTTTACTATTTGGGAGTTGGAAAAAAAAAAAAAAAAAAAAATTTAATTAAATCAATTTTTTTTCTTCAAATCTTGATTTAATGAAAACAAAATATTTTAAATCTTTTTAGATAAAAATTGACATTTTTTTTGTTCTAAATTTTTTTTTCCCAAAAATGTTTTTTTTTTTTTTTTTTTTAAATTAATTTTTGATGCAGGATATAAAACAAATATACCATGCCTTCTATTCGAGGTACTGGTTAAACTATGGGCCTCGGTGACTCCAAAAGTACCATTTGCTTCGGGGCTGCGCCCCTCAGCAAATAGTACTATTGGAGTCACCTCTTGCGCATAGTTTTAACCAGAACCTCTCAAGGCAGTGTATATTTGTATAATATACAGTGCGTCCCAGAAAAAATGAAACCCAGAATTATCGATGTTTTATCGTAACTTAATCACAATTATAATTGATATAATTAAGACACATATTTGGAAAGCTTAGATCATCTTCTTTCACTTGATGTAACTCATATAATGCATATTTCACGCACGAGTGATTAAATTAAATTTGAAGAGAGGAAACCAAAAAGTCATTTGGCGGACGGTATCTGAATTTCAAAGAGAAAAATCACATTCTAGTAATTTGAGTTTCTGCCCTTTCATATGACACCTGAGGTCAGGAAAAATGAGCTAAGAATATAAACAAAGTTCTGTTTGTTTAAAGTGGTACTTGCATTTCCATAATTTCATTAAACGAATTCGTATTCACTAGCTGCCTGCCGTAGCAACAAATGGAATTAACAAAAGACTTAACTCCGTTTCGTTGACAATCATCCGTAGACGAAAGACTTCATGCATGGCTGATTGTCCAATGGGTTTACTTTCACTTCACGGACAGCCTTTGAAGTACTTTGATATCCTTTTCCAATTTCTTAAATATAGTAAAATAGTATGCTATCTCTGTGAACCATTTAGGTAAAAAGCTATCGGCGAGGATTTCCTTATATTTGATTTGATTTATTTACCAACAGCAATACATTTCATGCATTTCATACAATAATTTACATATACATGAAGAGAAACTATTGGTTGGGAAAAGGGGCCAGATAATAGCACATGTGCTAGTCGAGCCTAACCCCTTAAACAGCTAAACAAAGTATTTTGGTACAAATCAGTTTAGAGAACGTAACAAAACAAAAAATAATGAATTTACTTTTACAATCGATACTTTAAAAAAAACAAGAATCAGTACTCAACAATGTCTTACAATATACAAACATACGGACATCCTTTGAAGTACTTTGATATCCTTTTCCAATTTCTTAAATATAGTAAAATAGTAAACTTTCTCTGTGAACCATTTAGGTAAAAAGCTATCGGCGAGGATTTCCCTATATTTGATTTGATTTATTTACCAACAGCAATACTCAACAATGTCTTACAATATACAAACTAATAATGTAAAATATGAATTATGAATTGTGTACACTTGATATTTCATTCATGACTTGTTCAACAAATGACTTGTAACAGAATTCCGAAATCTATTTCTAGACCTTGTCATTAATCTGACATCAACAGGTAATCTATTCCAAAATTCACTGCCCACAAAAGACAATGAAAATTGACCTTGTGTCGTTCTTAATTTTGGAAGACGTAATTGTCCACCTTCTTTTTGTCTTGTGGAACAGCTATGTTCTATAATTTCACATTACTCTATCAAAATATGAGGCAAATTGCCATTGACTAGATCAAACATGAAAGTAGAAATGGATATATCATGTAAATTATACACATTTAGGATTCGCAATCTTTTAAATAATGGATCTGAAGGAGTTCTCCATTCACTAAATGTTATGGCACGAACTGCCATTTTCTGTGAATATAATATACTTCTTAGGCTAGTCTTATAAGTGCTTCCCCACATATCTATTCCGTAAGAAATGTGTGGTTGTATAAATGCTTTATATAATTATATCACAGTACGGCTAGGAACAAAATGTTGCAATCTAAATAGCACTCCAACTTTCTTTCTAATACACTGATTTACAAAACGAATATGACTATTCCAAGACAAATGTCTATCAATGTGAACTTCAGCAAAAGTGGCAACATCAACCTCTTTAATTTCCTCGCCAGCGATTTTTATTTTACAATTTATACCTATTTTTTTCCTCCTACTACATATTAACATGAAATTAGTTTTCATTGAATTAATTGTAAGTTTGTTAGCAGTGCACCACTTATGTATCTTCTGTATGTTGTTATTCACTTCATTTACATCAATTTCACACTGGTCAGCAGAAAAAGTATATCAGATCTACTTCAGATATTGCATATATAGACCACCTAATTCAGCATCATAACAAATCCCCTTCAGCTCAGTGAAGCTTCCGCCCGTCTTGTTTTTCCATTTAGAAAGACACTCCCTTATCGCTGCCTTAGAGTCCCTACCGTGCTGGTTCAGAATACATGATGCCTCATTGTACCCGATACCGAGTCTGTCGGACAGGTGATAATAGGGACTTTTAGATTGCGTGGACTGATACATGTGACGTCCATTCAAGGCAATGCATTAAAAGGACGTCGATCGTAGCATAGACCTATTGGCCCGAATTCACAAAGGAGGTTTCTCGACAAACCTTGGTTTTCGTACGTCATATGACGCGTTTTACGCGTTTTTTACAAACCTGGTTTGTAAAGAACAAAAGGAGGTTTGGCGAAACAAAAGGAGGTTTGAGCTCAAACCTTGCTTTGTGAATTCGGGCCATATAGTCTTCGTGCGAATCTAAAAGTCCCTAGTATTTATCGTGAGGGACCTGGGGTGCAAGAGTATTCAGTTTCCCATCTGATACCGTGTCACTATAAGGATTTAAACGATAAGGATATATTATGTGAAGAATGTCTAAACTCAATATGAATTTTCGCCTAGTAATATTGTCACAATTTCCATGCGTAGATCTTCACTAATTTAGGTAAAAGTATTCTGATAATTTCACTTGTTAAGCTAGATCTAGGAGCGTGAGTTGTCATTGAAGACTTCGTAAATTTATATTTAATTTTTATTAACGTTTTGGGCCGATATCCCTCTGTAAGCTCCCAAGGCCTTTGGAAAATTCATTCTCCATGTATTTAGCATACTATTTTTTCACGAGGAAACATATCAATCTAAAATGCTTCATGTAAATGTGTCAGATATAACACTGCCAGAGGTAAAATTGTCAGAGGTAAGAATGTTAGAGGTAAGAATGTTAGAGGTAAGAATGTTAGAGGTAAGAATGTTAGAGGTAAGAATGTTAGAGGTAAGAATGTTATAGGTAAGAAAGAACTCTATACAATCAATTTACATGATTACATTTTGCTTTTATCTTTCCTTTTCCTCGAACATGTATAGATCAGCTAATTCAGCTTCATGAACGCCAAACAATAGTTATGCGCCTATACATCATGTGTAGTTTTATAATATATTGCGGTGGCCGGGGAGCGACCTTTTTTTCCTCCTACATACTATAATTTGTTCCGGTCTTCTGATTGGCTGATATGTTTTACGTCATTAGCTGCTTGGAAAGACTTTGATTATTCACTACTTTTCCTCACTATTTATAACAGACCACCTAATTCGTTTCAATCACGAATTAAATTTCTCGTTATTATTTTTATATTGCCATGACGGTGGATTATCTAATTGAATTATTTGCTCTCTATATATGTATATCTATACATATTATGTTAAAAGGTCCCTACCTTCTAGATTATAAGGTATCAGAGAATATCTGTATGATCTTACTAGTTACTGTGTCCATGTATGATGGATATATCACAAATAATTATATATGATATCAGGTATCGTGTATTGAAACTGATATAATGTACATTTACAATTAAACAGTTTCATTCAAATCACAGCGTCTCCCCTATATATATATATTCAGGCACGTAGCCACGGGGGGGGGGGGGGGGGGCACGTGCCCCCCAAAAAATTCCAAGATCGGTTGAACTTTGTTAGACCCCTTTTTTTACCTCGATCGATTACATGTATGTGCCCCTGCCCCCCCCCCCCCAAACATCAAACTCTGGCTACGTGCCTGTATATATTTGACAATTTGATAATATTGCATTGTGTGTAGCATGATTATCAGTCGCGAATCTGTGCGGTGGTAAATTATTGATAACCATCTTGGTTGCACTTGTCAGATATTTTTAAAACCTATTGTTTACGTATGCCAGCGTCATGTCAGTAAACATTAATAACCTTTGTCCTCTCGAGAGGCTAAGTGATTTTGGGCACCTATTCGTCAACTAACCTGCATGGTGTTTGAAACTCGATGAAGACATCGTCTTCCTCGATTTCTCCCTTCTCCTGACCCCCTTCTGGATTCTCAGCTGCTGCAGATAAGTTGTTCTGCTTTACCAGATCATCCATATCAAATGACCGTATCACGATATGAACATCCTTCCACTTATTGGGATCCCACTTACTCTTGTTACTCTTGTCATCTGTGAGTGTAAAGTTCTTGACAGCAATCAACGGCAGTTCTTGCTGTTGATACTCTATCATGGTGCCCCATTTATCACGGCAATTGGCACAGTGGATATCCTTCAGTTGCGTGAATTCGTCGATGCGTTTCTTCTTCTTGGGATCAACGAGCTCAATCTTTTCCTGGAAGAGGTCATTGATGACGACGTGGTGATGATTATTGATGCACCTGATATCATCTAGAAGGCAGGCTTCTATGAGGCAGTTGGCGCAATGGAGGAATATACCTGATTTTTCTATTTTGTTTGCCTTGGCGTTTCGCGCACGATCGTTTTTCCGCTGTCGCTCCTTCTGATCATTCTCCTGTTCCTTCTGAATCTAAAGAAAGGGAGTTAGATGCATCAGAGAGAAATATATAATCACACATGTACTTTCTATACAAAATAACCATTGGCATTGCAATATTCTTAATGTTGAGTCCCTCCTCATACATCGATCAAAAACAACGAAATCTACACTCAGAAAAAAAGTTTGCAGTCTGAAAAAGGATTTATGCATTTAAATGCAGTTTTGCTCACTGACTTTTTAAATTTTCGTAATGTTCTTTGTACGCGACGTATCTGCAGATGTATTTAATTTATTCAGCAAAGAGGACGTTTTAGGTAGTTTTTCGTATTCTTGTATTCACTTTAGTCACACTATTAAAGCAGTGTACTTGTTTGGTACGTGCCATAAGTTTGAAAATGTTCTTTAAGGCCAATAATGAATTAATTTGGAAATTTGGGATTATACACGAAACTGATGATTTCTTATTTATCCTGCAATGTTATCGTTATGTCTCACCCGATTATCAAAGGTTTCTGGACTGTCTCGAGTGCAATCAGCAATGTTGTGTACGGCCTCATTCATCATCTTCACCCGTATGAGGTTCTTGAGCTCACGATCCTGAAGCTGGAGGTCGGAATTAGCAATGACGATGATTTTCCCGTTACAGTCGGCCCGGATACGACCTACAAAACAAAAAATATGGCTATATTCTAATGGCAATTCTAGAGTTTAGTGTGAGGGGGGGGGGGGCTAACGTGACGAGTGAGCCCAATATATTGTATCCAACTCCACGAACGTGTACTCCAGCGGATTCCAGATGCCACCTCCATATAAAAATGAGAGATCTTTATATATTTTGCCCATTCCTAGAGCATGCACTAAAGTGCTAGCGGAGACCCCCTTCATACCAAAGTTTGAGAACCGCGACTGTTAATGTCATTCATATAGTAACCACTTCGTCATATCACTTATTACCAACATACCATTTTGATTCAATAAAGTATCAACAGTATGTTTATAATCGTTTTGAGGGTGGTTTTCTTCGTTGTTTTGTTACAAAGGATTTTGTTATTTTATTATGGAATCAGTTTTTCCTCGTGTATGTAAGGACACTGTATAGGTAACAGCTGTAGCTAACTAGAAGTGTGAAGCCTATACCTTTAGTTTGGACATGACCAATATCGCTGGTCACGTAGTTGTATCTAAAGACCATGTTGCAGTTCGTAATGTCCTGGCCTTCTTCCGCGACCGACGTGGCAACTAAGATCCTGTACTTTCCATCCTTGAACAACTGCAGGTTCCTATTCTGTTCTGTTGACGTCATACCTAAGATGCGTATGAAAGATAAAAATTGTAATATCTGCATAAACTTGTTGATGAGGGGACTTCAAGGAAAACAAGTCTCAGCTTTCAATCTGTCTTCTCGCTTTATCCCTATAACACTTCTTACGAAGTTGGTGTTGTTCATGTTTATTTTTGTCTTTGCTATTGTACTATGTCTTGTGTGTGTTTGATGACAACGCTTTTTTATGAAAGTGTCAATTAATGAACTGAGCTAAACTTTAAAAAATTGAAACCTTAAACCCTTGATACCTAGAAATTGTAATCCCTTTCAGCGACCAATAGAAGCTATCCAAGATAATGACATGCTGTGCGTTAATGTGAAGTGTCTTAGTAAAGCTACAATGTACATTCTATATCATTCATCATTTGCTTTATTATCCATGATTATATGAAGATGATTAATTTACTGATGTGTTGCTTGCCATTTTTCTTTATACATCTTATATATGTAAAAGGAGTGAAAATCATTGATATACTTTTTCTTTTCATTTGTTTGTATAATGTTATATCTCTCCAATAAATGTACCATGAAATTCATACTTCGTACGGAATTGGGAGTTACGATTATATCTTTTATAGACGTTGTCCAAATAAAAAAAGATGAACAGAACACCAACTCTACCTTGATTACCACTTCCTATCAAAGGGCTAGCGTTGATGTGCTTCAGTTCAGTGTCTTCATTGATCCACTTTACCAGAGCATCGACAGACGCTCTTGTCTTTGTAAAGATGATGCTAAGGGATTCCTCATTTTCTGCATACGCCTTCTTCAGTTGCCTGCCAAGCTCTTTCAATACGGGGTTGATACTGACAGTCTGATTGGCGATTAGGTTCAAAGCTTCAAGTTTATCTGGACATTCAAGATTCAAACGTATGCCTTAATAACTAACTAAAATGGACAAATTACGGACTTATGAAGAATATGTAGTGTAAATATATATATATCTATATATTATTAATCAACAAATACTTAACAGCACTATATGACCCAGTATTTCAGTTTAAAGATAAACTTGAGTTCTGGTAAAAAAAGAAAATGAATTCTCACAGAATCTAACGAAACTTACACTGAATGTTCAAGATTACAAATAAATGTCATGTGCCAAACAATTTTGGAAGAAAATGTATACTGGCTGAGTAATGAGCATAGAAAGATAAGGAAATCAGGGTAGTACTAGCCCCGACACCATGTGTGTTGTCCCATATACATCTTTCTGTGTAAGTGATTGTTACTTTACCAAAACTCTGCCAAATTTATGATGATTTTGATGACTCCATAACCTTGCATTACACACCATTACTTACATGCTATATGATCAACTTTTCTGATCCATTCCACACCTTTTCTTTCACAATGCAATCGCATTACCAGAACTCAAGTTTATCTTTAATGCAGATCGGTTCGGAATACATTGAACAAAGAACAATATTCATTGACCTACTAGGGGAAGGGTTTTATGTGTCTTCTTCCAAGAAAAGTGCTGCTTCAAGGCCTCGAAGATTGCGCACTGTGTGTGTATGTGAGGAGCCTGTGTGAGCCTGCTGGCCAGGATCCTTGTGCATATATGTCTATACTTTTTCCAAAAGAAAATATGGTTTAATCTGAGACAGTACAGGCATCTCGCCGCGGTAAAGATGTATCCCTCCTATATTATAGGTTTGCACACACTACTACATATCGTTCATTATCTTGAGAGGACATTCCAATATTCCCGTTGAATTTCTATTTAAAAAACACAGATGTTCTGGATCAAATACTGAATGGCAAAACTTAGAAGACACTTTTTCAAGCAAGTCATAGAGCCAATAGTGTTGATAATAAGACTAACGGTGTGCAAAGTCGCCTGATAAGTAAGAGATAAAAAACACAGATGTTCTGGATCAAATACTGAATGGCAAAATTTAGAAGACACTTTTTCAAGCAAGTCATAGAGCCAATAGTGTTGATAATAAGACTAACGGTGTGCATAGTCGCCTGATAAGTAAGAGAGACACAACGTGGAAACCGGGGGTGGAAAGTAAGAAGTAAAAATTATCTAAGTACCGGTGAAACTTGCATCCAAATACAACTTTAATCTCATAATTATTTATGTATTTCGTTGAATTATATGTACATTTATTTTTGTGTGCAGGCCCTAAAGGATAAAAACATTAACATCACTGGCTTAGCCACTTTGGGTTTAAAATTAATTGATTTATTTTTTTAAAAAATCGATCAATCAATAAATACAAAATCTTTAAAGATAATTATCGTGTGTGCATTTTAAGTTATTGGTATTGTTCTAAATATAGATTTTTAAATACAAACAACGCTAATCGGTAAATTGATCACCAACCTTCGAACATTTTCTTCAGGAGCACATCAGCAGGACCTGACGAATAGGTCCTCTCCTTGATGTAGTCATCCATGTAGGAGATGGCATCAGACGTACGTGCATCACGATATATGAATAAACTGTTGTTGTATTCCTAAAAAGAGAATCATTGCGATGGCTCTATAATAATGTTTTCTTGTAAATGTTACGACCTAGTGTAAAGCAAACTCATATGACATGGGACACGCTGAGAATTAGTTTGTTACATAGCTTACACTTATACGATATGCACGTTAACAGTCATATAGTGCATATGTGCTTACAATAAGTTTTGAATAATTGAATAGTGTCTCCAACATGTTTGTAAAACTGCTACGATATCAACTTGTTATACTAATCGAATTGTGATATAAATATATACACTGTTGCTCATAACGGTGGAATATTTTTTTTTTATCCCAATTTATGGAATTATTTTAAAAATAATTTAAAAATACTAGATCTAGATAATAGTATACAGTCTCAGATTTTATTGAATAATAATTTGCCAATATGTTTTTTGCGTGACTGCTAAAGCATGTATATTATGCTACTATGTTTATCAACTAGGGGACCTATGCCCTTAAGTCATAAATGACAGTAATGAGGATTAATGCCTCACAAAAGGGCTCTGATATAGCACATCGACACGGTGTTGATCCTGGGGCCTCACAGTTACGAGGCCATTGCTTTGTCACTGAACCATGACTGTACGCAGCGGGGGCTAGGGTAGGGGGCAGTTTCCATAAATTAAAAAAAAAACAGAAAATGCAATAAATATTCAATAATTTATTGCATTCTACCCCGGTCCCCAACATAAAAAAATCCTCTGGACGGCCATGCATTATGGCTCAAGGCATGGGCACACAGAAGATTTTTTATGTTGGGGACCGGGGTAGAATGCAATAAATTATTGAAAATTTATTGCATTTTTTTTTTTTTTTTTAATTTATGGAAACTGCCCCCTACCCTAGCCCCCGCTGCGTACAGTCATGGTTCAGTGACAAAGCAATGGCCTCGTAACTGTGAGGCCCCAGGATCAACACCGTGTCGATGTGCTATATTAGTGCCCTTTTGAGAGGCATTAATCCTCATTACTGTCATTTATGACTTAAGGGCATAGGTCCCCTAGTTAATAAACATAGTAGCATAATATACATGCTTTAGCAGTCACGCAAAACACATATTGGCAAATTATTATTCAATAAAATCTGAGACTGTATACTATTATCTAGATCTAGTATTTTTAAATTATTTTTAAAATAATTCCATAAATTGGGATAAAAAAAAATATTCCACCGTTATGAGCAACAGTGTATATACACTATCGCTCATATTTGGAATATTTTTGTTTTTCCCCAATTTTTTGAATTATTTTGACAATTATTTATTCCTAAATTCCTAAAAAAAACACAAAGAAAATGCAATAAATTATCAATAATTCATCGAATTTCCCCCCGTCCCCAACATAAAACAATCCTTTTCTGTGGGGGACCGGGGGGAAATTCAATGAATTATTGATAATTTATTGCATTTTTTATTTTATTTTGATTTGTGGGAACTACCCCTCGCTACCTTAGCCCCCCGCTGCGTACAGTCATGGTTCAGTGGCAAAGCAATGGCCTCGTAACTGTGAGGCCCCAGGATCAAAACCGTTTCGATGTGCTATATTAGTGCCCTTTTGTGGGGCCTTAATCCTCATTACTGTCATTTATGACTTAGGGGGGTAGGTCCCCTAGTTGACATGCATAGTAGCATACACATGCTTTAGCAGTCACGCAAAACAAACACTGGCAAATTATTATTCAATAAAATCTGAGAATGTATACTATTATCTAGATCTATTAGGAATAAATCATTGTCAACATAATTCCATAAATTGGGGTAAACAAAAATATTCCAACCCTATGAGCAACAGTGTGTATATGTTTTGACTGTCTCATTAAATTAACAAAAATCTACATTATCTGTTTGTTGCAATATTGTTGTAATACATCCTCCTATTTGCATACAAAATAAATCAGGAATATAAATCTTCACGTTGGCTTACCCTCAGGTAGTTCACACATGTCATTAGTTCCCTTCTGTCGTCTCCATTCTCCATCGACGTTTGTTTAATCTTCTTCTTTAAATTGACCACACCCTGTTCATAGCTTTGCGTACCACGGTGAGATACCATTTTAGTGAATTCGTGAACGTCCTCCACCAGCGCTCTTCCGGCTGTGTACACAAATAAACACTCGTAATTCATCTTTTGTACTTGTAATTAATTAGCAATTGTAATTACCCTGTTGTTTTCGTGGGGGGGGGGGGGGTTGGGGGAGGGGGTTGCTACATCACTTTTAACACTATTTTGTTCATATTCTAAGCGGTTCGTATCTATATAAAGAAGCGATGCAAAAGAAGATTACCATTGCTTTTTGCCTTACATTTTAAAACGTTAAACTACAATATATTTACTCGTATTTTTAAAGCATTTAAAGAATTAATATGGATTCTTCAACTACAATATTAATCAAGGGGAGGGGGTTGCTACATCACTTTTAACACTATTTTGTTCATATTCTAAGCGGTTCGTATCTATATAAAGAAGCGATGCAAAAGAAGATTACCATTGCTTTTTGTCTTACATTTTAAAACGTTAAACTACAATATAATTATTCGTATTTTTAAAGCATTTAAAGAATTAATATGGATTCTTCAACTACAATATTAATCAAACCACATCTTCAGTTGAACATTTTTTTAAAGATATATATCCGTACTTAGACCTACTCTCCAAAAGTCAGTTTAATCCTGTAAATTGCGATTGGGTATTTAAAACAAACACAAACCTGATTATGGTTTAAAGCTAAGTGAGAAAGAGAGAGAGGTTACCTTCCACGTTGCCTTTCAGTTTGATTTTATCTTCGATGCATTCCATGATGGCAGTTATCTCACGGAAGTAAGGATCTTCAAGAGGTCTTCCTTTTATTATCATCAGAACTGTACGATAAAACAAATATATATAAGTTTCTCCGTTCCTCTAAAAATAAAAATAAACGTTAAATTGAACACATCCCAATAAGATTGCAACGACTGCTTATATTACAAAATCATATAGTAAGAATATGTCTTATGTCTGATTGCAATGCCTATTAAAAACTATTATTTCCACAACTACAGATTTTAAATATTTATCGGTTGAATCAATATTTGTATATCTCTCATGGTGTGTAAACATAAAACTGATAAACTGCCGATTCATCTTGCCACTATGAATGAATGTAAACAATCTGCTTATAATTATATTATTTTATTGATAAATGTCCATCAACAAGTTCTTTCTTTACTTTTATACACACTGGCCCCCAAATTTGGAAATATCCCCCAGAGATATTCTGTGATTTTACTTTATTTAACTCTTTTAAATCAAAATTAAAAAATTCTTCATCTGTTTTTAAATCACTAGTAATTTACATGTTAATACGTCTTCTATGATTTATTATCGTTATATCTTTTATAGGCAATTGTTGGAACTTGCATGTATTTTTAATAACGGGGGCTGCCTTGAAAGAACTTTACGGTTTTATTTGTAGTTATCTCAATTCATTTCTATTGATTAACTTTTTATTTATTTCCGGTATAATTGTAAACATGTTTACATTTTGTGTGTGTTCTCTGTTTTCTTTATTGTATATAATCTGTATTTTATACTCTCATAAAATGTGTTTTTATGGATTATAATTGAAATAAAACATGAACTTAACTGTGAACTTGTAACACTCGAGAAACGTAAGTAATTTCCAAGATTTCCCTAATCCATAGGATAGTTTGGAATCCTGAGGGGCGAAGCGTTAAACAGATAAGGATTTATATAGGTATATTGATAACAAAAAAACTTACTTTCCTGGGGTGAGTTACTCCTCGCATTAAGCTGGTCAGCATAGATCTTTGGTCGTGATATTCTACAATCTAGGTTTGCACAGAGCTTTGTGATGTAGCGTTCAGCCTCCTCAATGTTCTTAGAATTCCCAACACCAGGTGATGCTGTCAGTCCAAGTATCTTATTCGTGTTAAGTAGAAGAGAAGCGCGTTTCAAATATTAAAGATATATCTACATTACACGTATTGTCACCTATAGACTATAACTGTTGGCAAAGTTTAGATCAAATGTGTATACGATGCACATGAAGTGAATATAATCTAAATACTTATTTACTACGAATAAAAAATCACTAATGAAATGTACGCCACAACTAGGCGTTGTGGCGTGCGCCTGTAATCCAGCTAACAGTGGAAGTTACAAACTAATTCAGCCGAGAGCGCAGGTTCGAAACTGAGTCACGTCTTTCAGATGGTGACGTTAAAGGTCGGTCCCCAAACGTAAATAATCATATCTGATTGATACACGTCTGTAAAAACCCAATTACACACACACACACACACACACTAATGAAATGTAGAAATAACTTACTGGAACAGTCAACATATTTTTAGAATAGTTCTTAACCTACCAAGGAAACTACCAAATGTCGGGGTGAATGATTTTTCTCGTAACGTCACCTATCATCGTGCTATCATCGTGCTAATCTTGTAAAGACTCTTACTGTAAAAATCCAAATTATTCTTAAAAAAAACAAAGATATGGCCTAAGGGCCTGCCATCACATTTATAAAGTAGTTTTTAATGTACCGAAAATATCAATGTATACATTATAAGAACATACGCCTGATATGTACCAATATAAAGAATGATTCCATGTCCAATAGATAGACTGGTTTTCTTTACAGAAATAGGGTTAATTTCATTTTATTTTATTTCCACATGGTTGTTCTTCTGCAAATTCGTGCATACATTTAAACACATAGTATAATAATAAATATCAATTAAAATAATGATTTAATTATACCCAACAAAACAGACAGATAATGAAAATAAAATAAAATTTTATGAATAAAAATAGAAAAAAATATGAGCCTATGCATGAAATAAAATCGGAAATGGAGGCAGATATTTATATACAACTAAATGAAAGGTTTGTTAGTCTATTCCATTGTATAATATAACGACTACATAAAGTATATTAGGGTATTCATTTTACAACTCATTATTCATCACCTGTGGTCTCGGAAGTTCCGGAGAGTTTAGCTTTAGGTCTCTATACATAGCCATCAGAACATTGTATGGATCAGATTTCTGTGGTTCGAAAAGACATAAAGAGAGACATGATTGAGGTACATGTCGATATTAAGTTCTTTTTGACTTGCGAATTAATTGTTTCAAAAGAAAACTAGTAGTAGTTTTTAATACCAATTGCAACAATTAAGCTTCTGCAGTCTTCAACATTTTGAAATCAACATCAACACGTATAATCACAGATTTAAAGATATTGATCGTCCTGGCCGTGTACAAAAAGAGAACTTTACAAATGCCGTTACTGTTAGGCAATCATTAAACGAGCGTAACACCAAACACTTGATTTAGCTAATCATTTATGACCTTTAACAAAACAATGATGACACAAATTATTGCAGTAAAATACATGCATGTCCATTTTTCTTATAAACAATTCGTATGATAGTGCTTAACAAGCGATATAATACACATGAATATTACAAAGCTATATAAGTATCCTTAACATGTCAAGTCTGAATGAGTAATATTAAAGTAGGCCTATTTAAATCAAGATGTACCAGAATTCGACAAAACTTCATCATAGAAGAAATCTGATAAAATAGACACAATTGCCAAGTGGGCACAATTTGTAGGTATAACATGTGGCACTAACAATGTCTGTCGTTTAGATACCTTCCTCGATCGTAGTCTTTAATATGGTAAGGCATAAACCGTAGACGTCCGAACTGTGCAGGTAAAAACATTTTGCAAATGTCATAGAACTAATTCCTGTTGACTCCAACCACCCTGATGAATTTATTTCAAACAAGTAGGTAAATATTCGAATGAATTAGAAAATGAAACATCAAGGTAGATGACATTACCTGGCAGTGATGACATTCGTCTAGGACAAGCTAGTGCGATGTCGGAGAGTTCAAGCTTAATGTTCTTATCTTTGAGGGCGTTGACAAGCTTCTCTGCCGTCAAGACGGTGAGGTCGTTGGAATCGATGAGGAAGTCCAATGGCACAGGGTTCGACTCCACACCGCTAGTTCCAGCGACCTTACACTTTCCCCTCAAGTATTTCAGACACCTGTCCTTCTGTTGTTTCATTAGGGGAACCTATAACAGAACGAGTAATTTTTTATGGTGATGGTTTGTTTTTCCCTGAAGGCGATAGAAGCATGTCATGCTCGTTATTGGTGAACGCCTAGGGCACCGATGCGACAGCTTAAAATCCTCTCCGAGAGACTTGGAAATGATGATTAATGCCTAACACAAAGACACTAAAACATTGTCTTGGCTTCATACCCGTGACCAGGGGCGACGATTCTGTTCATGACCGGGGAAGAGGGAGCAGTGACGTAATAACCATAAACGTTGAGGGGGGGGGGCAGAAAAAACTCCGCATCGCCACCATTCTTACATGTTACATGCAGGCACCGCGGAACATTTTTTCAAAGTAGGAGGGGGGGGGCTAAAGTATTTACGATCAGGTAGAGCAAAGCAAGTGGGGCGTAAGTTGGCGTGGGGTACGGGGGAAAACCCCCGGCGGGGGTCAAGCTCAGTGGTTTTAGGCATTTCGATAGGGTTAGATGAGCATCCAGGGGGCCTGCCTATGGGCCCCTGGTGGCTTCCAGGGGCGGAGCCCCGGAAACTCAGGGGTTTTAGGCATTTAATTACGGTCAAATGAGCATATGTTGATACCTTAATTGTGACACTGGCATGCAGGTCACTAAGTGGACTGGGGTCCGGGCGCGGAACCCCCAGAAGCTCAGTAATTTTAAGCATTAAATTACGATCAGATGAGCATCCAGGGGCTTTAGGGCCCGTGGTGGGGTCCAGGGGGAAGAGCCCCTGGAAGCTCAGGGGAAAATCATGTAATTTCAGCAACATTTGTAAATCACTGGTATCAAATTAGAATAAACCCCGCATGAATTTTATTGGGGGGGGGGGCAAATGCCCCAAGCCCCCCCATCAGTACGCCAGTGCGAGCATAGTGAACGAGAGGGTGAAGGTGACGGAAGTGACTAGCCCCTCATAGGATTCCTGAAGTTTTGGTATATTAAAAGAACTATAATATAAAAACAAGCAATATACTTTCTTCACACTTCACTTTTCTACGATATGTACATTTTGAAGGATATTATAATAATATAATATATAATAATAGCTTAATAGTCCACTCCAAATTTTATTAAACCGAAACGGAAATTCTTTTGCCCCATTGATCGTGAGCCCGGCAGCCACTGAGCAGCGCCAGATCGACGTTGCTCTATCCCTTATTGTTGAACGCCAAACAAGGGAGCAACAACTCCCATCTTTTAACGTCTTTTGGTATGACGCGGCCGGGGTTCGAACCCACGACTTCCCGGTTGTGAGGCGGACGCTCTACTTACTGAGCCAACACTCCGGTATATTATGCGAGGGAGCGTAGCTCCCGAGTGAGAAGATTTTTGCATTTTTATTTATCTAAACGCTGCACTCTTGGGCCCTCCAGAGCCTAAAAGTGTGTCGCAGTCTTCAGTCAGTATTTGCTATACATTTTTTTTCTCACTTTTTCAAATTTTCCGGGGGACAACCCCCCCCCCCCTAAAAAAAAAGTAGTTTGGATTTAGAGACAACAATCTCATTTGGGGAAAAATATTGGATTCTTAATTTTGAAAAACGAACAAGAAGTAGTGATGATGCCCTATTGCAAATGAGTAAACTATAGTAATGGATAATTTAGTGGATGTCCGGTTAAATATGCAAGCATACATAATGTGGGAAAAAGTACATAGCTACTGAAAGGAAAGGTAGGCTATGAAAAGATACAGAATATTCTTCAGGTTTGATATAAAGAAAGACACAAGTTACGATTAATATCAACACTTTATAAGATGGGGCCCTGGGACCCTCACACGGTTGAAATGTGAATCAATGGTCCTACCTTGTTCACTACGAACACACTCTTCTGCCTTCGATGATTAGTGGCTCCTACAGGGTTGCGGGCCAGGAACCGGCGACTTATAAGAGCGATGGCGACTTCTGTCTTTCCTGTCCCTGTCGGCAAGACCACCATGGCGTTCTGTCCCTTCAATGCTGGAGTAAGGACCTCCTCTTGGTAATCCCGTAGTTTTAATTCCACCGCCTCATCGCTTGGTGGACACACATTCTCGACTACTGGAATGTCCTCGTCGTTACCTTAATGATAATTACCGTGGATACCAGAAGCAAGACGTACATGTAATTCTACTCTACAAGTGAGGTAACGCTGTCAATTTTAAATTTTACTCTAATTGGTTTCCCCCATCTTTTTTCTGTCATTCTGCATTTAAACAAATACCTATCAAGTATCAATTCCTTATGCTTACCAGAGATCATGCCCCCTACCCTCAGAATACACACACACACACACACACACACACACGTTTTTTTGTGTGTAATGGTTATCTTCGTCTGCTGAATGCCAGACGGACATTTACACTGTGTTGAATGACAGGAGAAAAACGCCCTTCTGATTCTCACGAATAAGTGTCTATAGTGATTCGCATATTTTTGTGTTTAATTCAGTATGGACTTTCAATTTTGCATGTGACATAAAATAATCTGCCTTCCCTTTTTTTTAATACGTATTGAGATCTGATTACACGACATCTCTAAACAAACTGGCAAGAATTAAAGGCTACCCCAAAATTATATCAATACAGTTAGCATTTAAAGCTGCTAACATTTTTACTTTTTTCCTTTCTATCTCTTCTCAGTTTAGACTTTCAACAGCGCAAGGCTCCATTCCCACGGGGGTCTTCTCAACCACAATCCGAGCCTCAACAGGAAGACGACTCCAGCTTTTGTTCTGAAGAGTTTTCGACTTAGGAGCCAGGGTATCATGTCGATGGACCAGAATACATATCACATTGAAATAAACCGAACATTGTTTTTCCTCATTCGATATTTAGTTTTTATGAAAGAAGATAGATTCCTCACCCTCATTCTTGGAACGGTTCTCTGTTGGTCTTTCAGTGGTTTTTGCAGATTCTACAAATGTTATTACAAAAAAGGAAGAAATGTTCAACAAGTACTTTGTAGATTTCCTTTACGATTTCGAATTTCGTGAAAAAGTTCATCTATCTTGTTTTCATGTACTTGATGTAAAAATTCTTTTTTTTAAATCTCTGCTTCACGAACAAGATTAATTTTAACTTTCACCTGAATCTTCTAACAGAGTTTAATATCGTCAACATTAATGAAAATTTGATATTTTCATGTTGTTGATTACAACAACAAAACCTACGACCCGCCCTGACATTAATGCACTCGATTACTTTTCATTCGGTATGAACAACAAAAAACACCATTATGAGTAAATGTTTTTTTCTTCTTCAAATTATCAAGACGGGCAATTTTTTGGTCTTGGTTTTAGGCAGATTGCATTTCTTAAGCCAGTAATTGCTCTCTTTTGTTCACTGCTAATTTGAATAAACATACATGTACCAACAAATGTTTTGCTCGCCTTTGGACATTGCTAAAAGCAGGGTGGCGTAGTGAATTACTTGTGCATTTATGATTAAAGCACCGCATTTTGCACACAAGTAGATCAACCGAGCAATATGCCATTTATTTTTCTTGATATACAAATTAGAGTCTACAGTGTAAGTACAGAGACAGTTTTTTTTCCAAATTACCATTGACTACCACGTTTCCTTTTTCCTTCATATAGAAGCGAAGGGCTACCGTAAGCGTGGAGGAACGTTCCTGGTTGGATATTGAAATTATTTATTTTGGACAAAGCATACATGGAAAGGGTACCGTGAAGGAGTTATATTGAAAAAAGCGCACAGCGGGCCCGCCCCCTCCCACTCAGTGTTATTAAGGGTACGCATATGCGAGTTCCCAGCACCCCCTCCCCTTTCAGCATAAGTCCGGTGTGTGAAGTCAATACGGGTAGACTTCTTTCTTTTATTATACGAGCCTTTTCAGCACCCCCGCCCCCCCCCCCCCTTTCAGCATAAGTCCGGTGCGTAAAGTCAATACGGGTAGACCTTTTTTTTTTGTTACGAGCCGGAGATTTGGGAACACGCATGCGGTCCCTCCGTTCCCGAAGTGGGGGGAGGGGACAGCGGCCCTCAAGCTTGGGCCAAATTTCGGATGTCTCAATATCGAGATTAGAAAATGTTCGACTACCTGTGTGCCAAAGATGGTGCTTTTATCACAAATTGCAATAAAGGGCTGAAATAATATGACGTTATGCTGCCTATCAAGTCTGTGATCTGCCATGAAACTTTTGATAACTGCAAACATTCTTTATTTGATTTAATTCGAATTCTCCTTTTGTTTGTATGAAACGCACCATTGAACCATTGTTAACAAGAATAGCTTACCGGGTACGGGAATGCTTAAATATTGATCAGCCAGGTTTACCAATCCAGCTGTTGTTAGTGCCGACCTCAATTCCTCCTTTTGGTTCTGAAGTTCTTGTCCGTTTTGCCACGTCCTGAGCATACCCAATGTTCCCATATAATCCCCTCCTTGTTGAGCGTTTTTATCAATTGCGCGGCCAATATCTCCTTGCCCAAATCCCAAGGCTTTTCCGAGATTATCTATGTCTGAATCTTTGTGTATGGCCCTGGCTATATCCTTCATGATGTCGTCAAAATCGATCTTGACCACGGAGCTCATTCTGTATTTAGTTATTTAAATAGTCGGGAGGAAAATTTACAATAAATGAGTATCCGTAGAAGGTCAAATGCAAGAATTTTCGCCAACAGGGCGTTCTCAGTGACGACTTGTTTATGACATGATAATAAATAATAGGGACTTTTATATTTACACGACGAGAACGTGGACCGCCACGTGTGACATCCTTTTAAGGTAATGTGACGTCTTTTTAAGGCACTGCCGGGCACGGCCTAGTGCCTTAACACAATGTCACACGCGGCAGTCCACGCTCTCGTCATGTAAATCTAAAAGTCCCTAATGACAGCAGCATCAGCACCAGGAACAACAACAACATGTTTATCAATATACGTCTAAATTAAGTTGATAGGCAATTAACAGCTTCAACTACACAGAGCTAACGACACCAAGGTGGAGATAATTACAAAACAAACTAAGTCAACAGCAGTAACAAACATGCTAACAGCAATAACAAAACAAATACGGTTTAATTTACAAGAAGAGATCACAAATGATGAGAAGCAAAAACATATTTCGATAAATTTATATTCAGTAATCTGGGGCTTTTGAAATATAACATTTCACAAGTTGCATAATTAAGGGGAACTTTACACTAAAATTAATACTTAAGAGGTTAAAATTGTCTGTTTATAGATACTCGCAATAAAATTCTTTTCCAGTATGCTTTCTGGCTCAATTTGGAATAGTACAGTATTTGTGTACAAAGCACGAAACTAGAGTATCGCTTCTACGTTCGATTACATTATGCACATAATACTCGCCCGTCTATTATTCACACAGCATCATGTACAATAATATTGTGCGAATATTTGAGCGCGGCGATCGGAAGATTCGGTACCAAAAGATAAACATGTACATCAGCTAGTATGATGTGTGCGGTTGTCGATCAGCGGTGTGTTTATGTGTTAAATATGTATATCTGTGGCAAAACAGGTCCTGTCATAATATTTCTTTATGGCGTCTTCTACTGCTTACTTTAGGAACCGAAAAGGTAGAATACAGCTCAGGTATATACAAACTTACCTGACTGATCATTTGTCCCTATAAAATTGAAAAACGAAATCGTTGTGCTAATATGAATAACGGTAGGCTTCTGCAGCATGCAATCAACCTTGCACATACATAACTCTGTATTATTGACAGGGCACCGAGTATGTTTTCATATCGCAGTCTCACATACACTACGTATTGCTGCGGTGTTGCTGTGCGACAGTACCATTTGCGACAGTACCATTGTAAGTGAGAATCGAAGAGTGAATGTGTGCAACGATATGATTTTGCAATACCATGCACACAAAGGGATTCCCCAAACTCACACAGCACAAGTCGAGATAGTCTTAGTATTAGCGGTGTCGACTAGCGTGTTGAACCATTGTTTGTTTTAATAGCAATGTACATGTAGTATAAAGTAGGGTCTGAACTATTTTCCAGCCACCATTACATAGCTGCCCCGGCGCCACTGTGAATTTGCTTTAAGCTTGACTCAAGAGGCGATCCAGCGTTTGCAAAATCATCCGAACAGGAGAGCAAACTTCGAGCAATATACTCGATTCAAATTTAATTCAGAGCATTTTATCTCTTCATATTTACGAACCACTCATAGAATAAAATGAAACCATAAGGACATTATTAGCATTATTTATGTTCGCATAATTATATCCTCTAGTCTGAATCGCTTTTGATTTCATTCACAGCATGATTATGTCAGCTACCCTTTAAAACTGTAATTTTGAATATAGGAAGATAGCACAGGACATATAACATACACGAAACATAGCAGTGATATGTCCTTTGTATCTTCTTCCAGTGGTACCGCGACACATGCCTCACTGCCCTATGTACACATGTCAGTCCCTTTCATGATTAGATATGTCATATTGACTGTTTACTTTGTTTTTTAATAGTGCGAATGTGATACCCTGTTTATTATTGAAAGAATATATTTCATTTCAATAAAGTCATCTTAAGTACACTAACAACTGTAATTTCCATCAGAGGATTGGTGATTAACTAGTAGGTAGAGTAGTCGTTTTAATTTCCACTAAAACAAGCTAACACAAACACATCAGTCCTTCCTTGAAAAATATAGATGTGGTAAATGGCAGCATAGCTATTTTTAACCAACCTAAGGGTGAAATTCTTCTTTTTTTTAATTTTAAATTGAATGGGAATTACACTCTTGAGCTATCTCATGAAAATGCCATAATTATTATAACATGTAGTACAACATTACTCATTGTTAACTTCGATTTAGCGACGACCCTTGAGAACGACAGCCCACGATACTGATAATTTCCAATCTTCCCTTATTTATTTGTTTTGTCGGCCTTGTGGGCCGCGGGAAGGAGGAGGCACGTAGCCACGAGAGGCACGGGGGGGGGGCGGGGGAGGGGCACGCACCCCCACATTTTTTCCAAGATCGGTTGAACATTTTTAGACCCCTCCCCAGGACGTCGATCAATTACATGTATGTGCCCTCCCCCCCCCCCCAAAAAAAAAAAAACTAACAAACATACAAACATCAAACTCTGGCTACGGCCCTGAGGAGGAGGATTTGTTTTCTTCGTGGAAGGAGATCAGCTCAAGAAGAAGAAGTGCAAACGGGAGCAAGATGTAAAAAGGCTCTTCAATTATTCTGCTTATCGATCAAGCTGATGTCAGAATCCATATTAAGCCAAGTACAATTGGTTTCTTGTTGGAGGAGGAGGTTCCATAATATTTCATATTTGCTAGTTAGTTCTGTACATAGAAATGATTGTTATTGGGTCAATTTCAACAGAAAATGTTTCAATTCAAATTTCAAAAGCCCTGTACAGAGGCTGAAAACAGAGTGAAATTGCATTAAATTCCTGATTTTTAAAGGGATGTTGTTTAACCCTGTTGTCGTATTGTCCTCTGATTGTCATTATTTATATTTATATAGACCGGTAGTGATAAAATTGCGGTTAAAGAGTTTTGGGTACAAAATATCCATTCAATATTGTTTAAATATTGCCTTCAGAGGTTTAGAGGGCAATACTCCAGCCTAAATTCGCAAAACCAAATATTCAATGTTCAATAAGGGATAGAGCAACGTCGATCTGGCGCTGCTCAGTGGCTGCCGGGCTCACGATCAATTGGGCAAAAAGAATTTCCGTTTCGGTTTAATAAAATTTGGAGTGGACTATTAGATTATTATTATTATTATTATTATTATTATTATTATTAAGTGCATTCGCGATATCTATCCAGGCCGGATCGATATGATAATTTACCAAATATATCGATTAGTAGGCGGTTTCCCGGCAAAATTTGTATCATCATGTATTAGTCAAAACATATTCTTTCACATGATTGGTAATAGGAGCTTCCATTTCATTTTTGAGAAGGGGGCGTTTCCAAAACCGGTCTATATATTTAAGGATACCGTACACATGGCACGCTAAAATGTCGACAATGGTAATAAGCCAACCCAATATTAAAGCGGAGAGCCAAAGTCAGAAGAGAGGGGTTTGGCTGCTCCGTCCACACAAACTAAGCACACCTTGTTTATTCAAATTCAAATGATTTTATCATGATACACAATATTTCAGAGGTGCCACGAGGGGGCGCCCTAAACAGCGGCCCTTTTGATGAAAAATAGTATTTTGTAATATTTCAAGAAAACCTTGAACCACCATGAGTTTTTGTCTCGTATGAAAGAATATCATCTACATTTTATTTCTTTTTTCTAACATATATACAAACAAATGAATAGCATTTGTATCGGTTTTAATCGTATTGTCTGGTAATTTTGTTTTCTTTCCCTTATCAATTTCAGATCCAATCCAAATTCTATTCAGTACTGCGCTGCACACATTGTTCCACACGTTACAAAAACACAATATCATTTCAAAGACTTCCAATATTCGAAATGGACTTTGAACATAATTGTTGTGGTGTTCGTGTCTGCATAATAGCACATGATAGACAAAATCAAATACCGTATAATATAATTAGGAAGACTAACCCCTAGACATTCGTGAAGAGTAGGGTGTAAACCTGGTGTTTAGTGTGCCTATATACACAACTGGTAATTCGTGATAGCCTGCGGTTGCCCCCCCCCCCAAAAAAAAAAAAAAAATAAAATAAAATAAAATAAATAAATAAATAAAATAAATAAATAAAATAAAATAAATAAATTAATTAATTAATTAATTTTTTTTTTTAAATGATAAAAAATAAAAATAAAAAAATAAAATAAAATAAATAAAAATAAATAAATAAAAATTAATAAATTAATATATAAATAAATAAATAAAATTAAAAATCACTTACATGTGAGCAACCAGACGTCTTTACATTTTATTGGACTTTGTAACTTCCATCAAGCCTATCAATATGCCTTACATTTAGAACTTTCTCACTCCAAGTTTGGCAGCAGCTTGCAATTAGTAGGTAATTTTTTCGTAGCCAATTAATAAAAGTTTAATTTCAATACAAACACAGTAGCCTAAATGGAGGTACATGTAAGTATGAAGCTATATAGACGTATAAAGAAATAATAATGATAATAATAATAAATAATAATAATAATAAAAATGAAATAAAATAACGATAACAGTAATTAACACATCGATCGATTTTAGTTGGTGGGCTGTAAAGGTTTATTGTATATATCCCTCAAGTAGAGGCTCCTAATTCTTCTTGGTGATAATGACAGTAATGTAGAAACAACACAATTTCTTTAGAACAAAAACCAATGAAAAACAACCACGATATGCATACTTAGAAACGAGTGTATGTTATGATAACAATATTGTTCGCGATGGTTGCTTTCGAACCAGCCTTAAGTTGATCATTATGTATCAAGCCACCTGAACAATAATTTTAGTGGATGTGATATATGTATAGTTTCATTATATTTTCTTTATCTTTGAACAAAGAAAAGGATTACCTGTACAACTGGGTTTTTTAAGGCCACATTACACTTATTCATTTACACACTCGTTTAATCAGGAAGCGCTTGTACAATGCATTGTCACTATTATATTTACACAAAGACAAGAATATGTCAAAGTTTACTACTCTTCATTCTACGTTATGGAATGAGTTTTTTAATTGTTTAATTTAGGAGCCGTGATAGAAAGGCCAGCGGCCAGGTTTATATTCACGTCTATCTTAATAATCATCAATACTATACTAATAGGTAATAAAAACACAGCTCATCTGTCTATGAGATTTATAGCACATTGTTAGTAATATATTTTGCTTTTAGTGTTGGCAAAGATAATATGTGGCATAAGATTAACAATAAAAATGTCTTTGACATCATTTCTGTATGAACAAGGCTATTCGTAGTAAATTGGTTCCAAAACAGTGTAGCAATCAATTATATCATTCCTTTCAAAGCTGTTAAGCAAAAGTGGGATTGCTATAGCGAAAAGGGTTGACGGACATGAACATCAAAGATTTTGATTTTATTTCCTCAGATTTAGAAAAAAAGTGAAACCGGTTATAGTGAAGAAGTGAATTCTCAAGGATTTTTCTTCCAATTGTTGTAATACATATTTGTATATTGCCGTAACGGTGGATTATCCAAATTAAAATGTTTGCTTTGTATATGTATACATATTGTGTTAAAGTAGATATTCATTGATTTTAAAAACTAACTTTATTTTCATTATTGCGAAGTTGAAACTTTGATTCGACAAGGTTATCAAAATTCAATGCTTGGAAACACGGGCGTAAATCTGCAATTGATACCTATTGTTCAGGGGGGGGGGGTGATCTATTCATTCATCCCCCCTGAACAATAGGTATTACGTAAGGATTTACGCCCATGCTTGGAAACATTCGAAGTAATGATTATTATAAATTAAAAAACGCTAAAATACAGCCCTGGCATAGCACGTGAAGAGCTCTGCGTACGCTGATGAGATGTGTGAGATCACAGTATGGACATGATTTGCACAAGCAGACGATGTCCCATGACATCTCACACATTTTCAGTGCCTGTGTTTTCATCTTCTCTTGAGTCCTTTCACTACCGTCAGGATAAATGTATAATCTATTGCCTCACTGTAAACCCCGCGCATGGTTTTATTTTGATGACAAATGCAGCGATACAAAAATAAAGGAATCTGTCGCTTGTAAACAAAATCAGACGCCATTGTATATTCAGCTGCACACACCGCGGTATGTTCGGCGTTTCAAGAGGGAACAAATGCTGTCCTTAATATCATTCCGTGGGGTTTTCAATTTGAAAGTCTGGTTTCTATGATTGTTAAATAACCCCTATCCTGTGTTTTTACAAGCAAATTATTTTAGTTACCAGAATCGGGTCATTCCCCTTATGCAAGACTCGCTGACAGCAAGAACAACAAAAAGGGTACGTGAAATTATCCATAAACATGTTAGTTTAGTTGCTGAAAATGCTTTTGACGAGTACCAGCATAGACGTAGACGAAAATAGATCTAGTAGTCTAGGGTGTCTGATCGCGCACCCGATGTTGTGTGCTAAAATTCTTCACATAGAGATTGCACGCAATGCAGTCTCTATGCAGTCTACGTGCATTGCGCGACCATGCAAAAAAAGTCAAGTTTTTTTTTTTCAATTCGAGATTCAAACCTTTATCTGTTGTGATCCTGAAGGTGATACTCAATAAGTGAGGTGTCCTATGAAAGCGCAGGTTTCTCTCCATATTCCCCACAGGACCGGCCCACCCCCAAAATTGTAAAAATATCTTGCGTAGTCAGCGTAGACTAGAATCTAGATCTAGTCTATACTCTCAAAGATACACTCATAAAAACAACCGTGCAGATAAACTAGAGAAAGGCCAAGGTGGTGTCATAAGTTGACTTTTTTCCGGCATATAAAAGTATTAATGACTGCTTTAATATTCGAGAAATAGTAAGCTCTCGGGAAGGTTACAATTGGGCTATTGCCCTCGGCACGCCTCAAGCAATAGCACAATTGTAACCTTCCCTTGAGCGTATAAAAACAACTATTTCTCTCAAAGCAGTCATTAATACTATAATATCCTTTGTCCTCTGGAGAGGCTAAGAGATTTTGGACACCTGCATGTGCAGCCCCTAGGTAAAATAGTTCTTGATTTTCAATGACATTAACAAAACATATATGATTGTCTATTATGCGAACTGCATAGTGTGGCCTCTCTTTGAGTCACACTTCACGGCATCTATTTGTCAATCTGCATGATGTTTGAATATTCGATGAGGGCTTCGTCTTCCTCGATTTCTCCCTTCTCCTGACTCCCTTCTGGATCCTCAGCTGTAGACAAGTTGTTTTGCTTTGCCAGATCATCTGTATCAATCGAACGTATCACGAAAGGGACGTCCTTCCAGGCTTTGGGAAACCACTTTTTACCCTGGTCATCCATGAGCTCAAAGTTCTTGACGTCAATCAACGGAAGATCTCGCCTACGGTAAACCATCATTTTGCCCCATTTATACTGGCAATTGCCACAGTGGATCTTCTGCCGGTGCTTGAATTCGTCAACGAGCCTCGTCTTGTCCAGGAAGAGGTCACTGATGACGACGTGGTGCATGTTTTTGATGCACCTGATATCATCTAGACTGCAGGCCTCTTTAAAGCACTTGATGCAATAGAAGACTATGCCAGATTTCTCTATTTTGTTTGCCTTGGTGATTCGCGCATGATCTTTTTCCCGCTGTCGCTCTTTCTGATCATTCTTCTGTTCCCTCAGAATCTAAAGAGAGGGAGTAAAAATACATTAAAGAGAAATATCAGATCACACATGTAAACTTTCTTTAAAAAACGAACAATTGTAATATTGGTAATGTTTAGTCTACCCTCGTACATCGACCAAAAAATGCAAAGCTATACTAAAAAAAACGTTTGCACACAAAAACAGGATTTCTGCATTAACATGCAGTTTTGCTCGTTGACTTTTTTTATTTTCTTAATGTTTTTTGTACCCGACATATCTGCAGATTTATTTTATTTATTCAGCAAAGAGGGCATTTTATGTCGTGTTTCGTATTCTTGCATTCACTGTAGTCAGACTTTGAAGGCAGTGTACTTTTTCGTATGTGCCATTAATGTTCCCTTTAGACCAATAATATATTAATTTTTGAAATGGGATTATACAAGAAACAGGGGATTTCTTATTTATCCTGTAATGTTATCATTTTGTCTTACCCGATCATCAAAGGCTTTCGGATTGTCTAGAGTGGAATCAGCCATGCTTTTAACCACCTCGTTCATCATCTTCACCCGTATGATGTTCTTGAGCTCATGTTCTTGAAGCTGGAGGTCGGAATTCACAATGACGAGGATTTTCCCGTAAAAGGCCCGGCTTCGACCTAAAAATCAAAATGAAGATGTGTAAAATAACATGAATGGGATATTCCATTGGTCAATCCAGATTTTTAGTGGGGTGGAGGTAGTGTAATGTGCGAGCCCAATCTATTTTGGTCAACTCTAAGAGCATGCACTTCAGCAGTTTGTATATGCCACCTCGATCTGACTGACATGAGCGCTATACAAGAACCCATTATTATTATTATTTAAAAATGAGAGATATTTATATATTTTGCCGGTTTTGCCCATCCCTAAAGCATGCACTTTAAGTACTAGCGGATACCCTTTCAAATCAAAATTGAGAGCTACAAATGTCAATGTCATTCATGCCGTAACCACTGCTTCATAATACTTATTACCAACAGATCATTTTGATTCAAAAGATTTAAATATTAAACATTAGGTTTACAATCATTTTGAAAATGGTTTTCTTCATTATTTTTTTTAAAGGATTTAGTTATATTATTATAGATTCAGATTTTCATCGTGCCTGTGAAGGAACTGTATATGTAAGAGCTATAGCAAACTTGAAGAGTGAGGCCTACCTTTAGTTTGGAGATGACCAATATCGCTGGTCACGTAGTTGTATCTGAAGACCATGTTGCAGTTCGTAATGTCCAGACCTTCTTCTGCGATCGATGTGGCAACTAAGATCCTGCACTTCTTATCATTGAACGACTGCAGATTCCTATTCTGTTGTGTTGACGTCATACCTAGGATGCGTATTAAAGATAAAGATGTGTAAAATCTGCATAGTATTGTTGATGAGTGGAATTCAAAGAAGGCCAGTCTTAGCTTTCAATAAGACTTCTGGCTTCTCGCTTATTCCCAACTCTTCATACGGAGATGTTGTTGTTCATGTATATTTTCTATTTGCTATTTTAATTGGATATGTTTTGTGTGTTTAGATGGCTATGCTTTTTATGAATAACATTGAAACCAAGAAATTGTAATCTCTTACAACAGCTACTATACTAGAAGCTATCCACGACGATGATATGATGTGCGTCAATGTGAGGTGTCTTGGTTAAGCTACAATGTACATTCTATATCATTCATGATTGCTTTATTGTCCATGATTATCATCAGTAGTGATCTGTCAGTTTATGTGCAGGTTCAGTGACCCAATCAAAATTCTATTTCAATTGTGTCTCCAAGTTCCTCCGTCTTGAGCCATCCGTTTCAGCGTGTCATACCCTGTTGCTCCACATTCTGTGATTACATTGTCTAGAAAGCCTTTACGAGGTTTTCCCCTCTTCTTCTTTCCATGAATACGACCTTCTATGACTTTGAGCATCAAGCCTTCATCATGCCGCATTATGTGTCAAAACCATTTCCTTTGTCTCTCTCTAATCTCATGATTATATTGAGATTATCAATTTAATGATATGTTGCTTGTCTGTTTGTTATAAATGAAAAAAGTGAAAAAGTTTGAATCATCGATAGACTTTTTTTTTGCACTTGCTTGTATAATGTTATATGTCTCCAATACACTTAATCATGAATTGGGATTAATGATTATATCTTAAAACGTTATCCTAATATAAAAGATGAACAGAATCGCAAGTTCTCAACTCTACCTTGAATACCACTTCCTATCAATATGCCAGCGTTGATGTGATTCAGATCAGGGTCTTCATTGAGCCACTTCACCAGAGCCTTGGCAGACTCTTTTGTCTTTGTAAGGATGATGCTAAGGGATTCCTTGTTCTCTGCATACGCCTTCTTCAGTTGTCTGCCAAGCTCATTCAAGAGGGGGTTGACACTGACATGCAGATTTGCGATTCGGTTCAAAGTCTGAAGTTTGTCTGGACATTCAAGTTAAATAAATGCCTTAATAACTACCTTAAACTGAAAAAATTACTGAAAGTATATGAAGTGTAAATATTAGGGTGGAAAAGATATATTTAGATATTATTAATCAACAAATAATTGACAGCACTATATGACCCAATAATTCAGTTTAATGCCGATCGGTTTGGAATACATGAACAAACGTACACTACTCATTGACCCACCAGGGAAAGGGTTCTGCGCCGGATCCATACTATTCCTAAGAGAACATATAATTTATTCTGAGACAGTAGGGGCGTATCGCTACAGTAAAGATGTATCCCTCCTATACTTGGTTCGCAGACACTACTACCTATCGTAAATTATCTTGGTCGGTCATTGCATTATTCCACGTTGAATTTCTATTTTTTAACAGACGGAGTGAAAACCTCTGTCAAAGGTAAACTGATAAATAAGAGAAAAACATAGCACGGTAAGTGATAAGTACAAATTATTAAAAAATTACCGGTGAAATTGCAATTCGCAAAACAACTTTATTCTCGTGATCATTTATGTATTGTGTTAAATTTCATGTACATGTATTTTTTGTGTGCAAGGCCCTAAGGAATACAATGTCATGATGTTTAATAGAACCACTGACTAAGCAACACTGGGTTTTTAAAAAATGAAATAAATTGACCGTGTGTACTTTAGATTATTGATACAGGTATTGTTCTTTAAAAAAAAGACTTTTATTTATTTACAATCCTAGTCGATACATTGATCACCAACCTCTGAACATTTTCCTAAGGATCATATCAGCAGGGCCCGAAGGGTTGCTCCTCTCCTCTTCATTGATGTAGTCTTCCATGTAGGAGATGGCATCTGACGTACGTGCATCACGATTTATGAATAAGCTGTTGTTGTATTCCTAAACAGAGAACAATTGCGATCACTCCATAATAATGTTTTCTTGTAAATGGTACGACCGAGTGTAAAGCAAACTTATATGGCAAGGGACACACTGAGAATTAATGTGTAAAATAGATTACACTTTACTATACGATATGCACGTTACCAGTTTTTTACTGCATACTTATGCTTACAATTAGTTTTGAATATCATTGAATAGTGTCTCCAACATGTTTTAAAACTGCTAAGATATCAACTTGTTACACTAATCAAATTGTTTATTAATTGATATATAATATGTTACGATTATGTCTCTTTATATAACATAAATCTCCGTGTGTGTGTATATATATATATATATATATATATATTATATATCACTATTTATAAAGCAATATTGTTGAAATACATCCTCCCATTTGGATTAAAAATAAATCACTATTTTTTTATTTTTTTTAAAGATCTTATTGTTAGCTTACCCTTAGGTAGTTCACACATGTCATTAGTTCCCTCCTGTCGTCTCCATTCTCTATCGTTTGTTGAATCTTCTTCTTCAAATTGACCACACCCTGTTCATAGCTTTGCGTACCACGGCGAGATACCATTTTAGTGAATTCGTCATTTTCTTTCATCAGCGCTCTTCCGGCTGTGTAAAATAATAAACACTCGTGATTTATCTTTTGTACCTTTTTTGTATACTTTTATTACCTTTAATATATCTAATTGCATGTTAAAGCATTTAGAGAAATAATATGCACTATTCAACTAAATAATCAAACCACTGTCATCTCCACTTGAAAGTTTTTTTTTTAATATATCAGTACCTATAGTAAAGGCCCGGTCACACAGGGAGGACGCATGGGGAACGCACGGCCAGCGCATTGGAAATTTGCAATTTTGGCCAGTGCGTTGTCGTGCGCCCAACTTTTGTCGAAGCTACAGCGAGCTGACACCAAATGCATAGCGTGTTGCTAGCGCGCTGAGCGCATACAGGGCGCATACAGTGCGCATACAGACCGTACACAGAGCGCACATGATGTTAACTTCCACGAATGCATAGCGTGTTGCTAGCGCGCTGGACGAATGGTCCACGCATGCACCGCGTTCTACGACGCACGGCCAGCGCATTGGAAATCGGAAAAGAACGTGTGCCTAACTTTTGTCATAATTTTGGAAAAGCTAGCGAGCTGACACCAAATGCATAGCGTGTTGCTAGCGCGCTGAGCGCATACAGGGCGCATACAGTGCGCATACAGACCGTACACAGAGCGCACATGATGTTAACTTCCACGAATGCATAGCGTGTTGCTAGCGCGCTGGACGAATGGTCCACGCATGCACCGCGTTCTACGACGCACGGCCAGCGCATTGGAAATCGGAAAAGAACGTGTGCCTAACTTTTGTCATAATTTTGGAAAAGCTAGCGAGCTGACACAAAATGCACGGCGTGTAGCTAGCGCGCTGTGCGTATACAGGGCGTGTGCTCCGCGTATGTCTGGCGCTGGTCTAGCGCGCTCCACGCATGTCTGGCGTGCCTTTGGCGTGTATATTCATGTGTCGAGCTCGGCGCACGTTTTTGAGCATGCTCAAAAAATCCCGACGCACACAGCGAATGACGACGCATGCATAGCGCTGGTCCAGCGTTGGTCCAGCGTGCTCGACGAACGAGTAACGAATGATGACGCACGCCTAGCGAACGACAACGCACTGGCCCAAATTGCAAATTTCCAATGCGCTGGCCGTGCGTTCCCCATGCGTCCTCCCTGTGTGACCGGGCCTTAACTCCCTAAAAGTCAGTGAAGTATTCTGTCAAGTGTGATTGTGTATTAAAACAAACAACAACAAAAGGGTTTATGGTTTAAATCTAAGTGTGAGAGAGAGAGAGAGAGTACCTTCCACGACTTTGATTTTATCTTCGATGCATTCCATGATGACACCGATCTCACGGAAGTAAGGATCTTCAAGAGGTCTTCCTTTCACCATTATTTGAACTGTTCGATAAAAAGAAACACAATGTACAATACAATGTAATACAATAATACAAACTTACTATTGCTTCACAGCGCTTTACTTAAACATTATCACAGAATTTGTTGTTGATCATGTTCAAAGAGGAGAGTTTTGAGACATTTTCGAAAGACATACAGCGAAGGTGATAATCGAATAAAACGTGGAAGCTCATTCCAGAGTCGAGAAGCACATGCCTGAAAAGCATTGTCGCCAGCTTTGGTGTATGTTCGAGGAACTTGTAGCATGTGCTGTCAGTACAATAGTGAAGGCCAGGACGAGCAGATTGGTAGGGTACGATGAGAGAGTTGAGGTACTGGAGCTTTGTTTTGGATGCACTTGTAGACAACCGTCAGGTTCTTGAATACAATGCGGTGCTTGATTGGAAGCCAATGTCGTTTTTTTAGCAACGGGATGACATGATCGTGCTTACGGGCAAAGTAGATCAAATGTATCAGTCCCTCCGTTCCTCTCAAAAAGAGGTTAAATGTTGGACTGTCAACTTATAACACTTTCGAGCATTTTGTTGATGGCAACTGCTAATCGGTGATGGATGAAAATATTATTAATTTGTTATTGACAAGTTTTTATAAAGTTATCAGCTCCTAGAAAAAAAAAATCACTAGGTAACACCACACATAAATATACGTATATACAAGTATTATTCCTTTAAAACATTCCACTCAAATTTATTTATTCGCATTTCAAAGCATCTATAGAAAGAATATGCATGATTAAACTTTATATTGTATAGTTCAATCATGCATTATTAAATCAATCACTTTCATCTTCATATCAACATTTCTTTTTTACATATATTAGTACTTATATTAACCAATATTAAAGGGTGTATGTCCCATTTGCAGCCAATATCAAATCATTTAGAACTTTGCAGGATTATGAATATTTCACGTTTGTCCTATCTGTGAAATGTAAACATTAGCAGTGTCCTAATATTCAAATTATGCAAGGAAACCTGTTTTCTTTCTAGACTTTACTGTCAGACACTATTGAGTGAGTGACTAACTTCTTTTTTTTTCTTCTTTGGTAATAACATACATAAAATGAGCTGTAAAGGATACATGAGCATTTGTCTACATCAATATTAAACCCAATTACTATTACTAAATGGATTGCAATCACTAAAGATAGTTCGACAACGATTGGTTGCTACTTTCCCACTTACAGATATTTTCCAGCTCTTTTGTGTTGAGGGGAGTTCTAAATTAGTATTATCTTTCAAATGCCTTGGAATTAAACTTTTTCATTTTTTTTGGCCGGCAAATGGGACATAGTACTTTTAACTCCTTAACAGTCATATATTAATATTATATTATATCAACTCCCTAAAAGTCATATGACTTTTTTTTCTTTTTTGTTCAATTATGTAAGTATATATATACTTACATAATTGAACAAAAATGAGATTGACCAATTAGACTTCAGTATCCCTATCATCTCATGAAAATATGCCCTCTCTTCTTTTAAGTTCCCTGATTCGAGTGAAATAATCGTATTCCTGGAATATCTATTCGACAAAAGTAAGTAATTTCTAAGATTTTCATAATCCCTTGAATAGCTTGGAGGGGGGTCTGCCTCACTCCCTGTCTTACATGTTACATGCAGGCCCCGCAGAACGTTTTTCAAAGTGGGGGGGGGGGGCTAACATATTTACGATCAGGTAGACAAGCGAGCGAAGCAAGTGGAGCGTAAATTGGCGTGGGGGTTAGGGTTTAGGTATGGCTCAGGGGGCGGAGTTCCCGGAAGCTCAGGGATTTTAGGCATTTAATAACGGTCAGATGAGCATCCAGGGGACAGGGTCGCCCGCAAGCTCAGGGGTCTTTAATAGGCATTTAATTACGGTCGGATGAGCATAATTATGTTGATACCTTATTGTGACACTGGCATGTAGATCACTAATTGGAGTGGGGTAAAAGGGGTGTAACCCCCAGTTTCAGATGAGCATCCAGATGCCGCCCTTGGTGGGGTTCAGGGGGCAAAGCCCCCGGAAGCTCAGGGAAAAACCATGCCATTTCAGCAAGATTTTTAAATCACTGATATCGATTATTATTACGCCAGTGCGAGGGAGCATAGTTAACGAGAGGGGTAAAGGTGACGGAAGCGACTACCCCCTCACAGGTTTTTGAAGGTTTGCTGTATTAAAAAATTACATTCCTTTATAGATAAAACTCTAGTATAAAAAAGACTTTTTCACTTTTCTATAATAGTTACTTGTATACTTTGAAGGATATTATGCGAGGGAGCATAGCTCCTGAGCGAGAAGATTTTTGCATTATGATTTGTCTAAACGCTGCACTCTTGGGTCCTCCAGAGCCTAAATGTTTGTTGCAGTCTTTAGTCAGTATTTTCTATACACCTTTTTTGGCACTTTTTCAAATTTTCCGCGGGAGACGTGTCCCCCGTTCCCCGGGATCACCGCCTCTGCCCTGAGGGATAAAGCGTTGAAACAGATGAGGATTTCTATAGGAATAATGATAAAACTGTTAACTTACTTTCCTTGGGTGACCTACTCCTCGCATTAAGCTCGTGAGCATAGATCTTAGGTCGTGATATTCTGCAGTCTAGGTTTGCACAGAGCTTTGTGATGTAGCATTTAGCCTGCACCATGTTCTTTGAATTCCCAACACCAGGTGATGCTGTCAGTCCAAGTATCTTATTCATGGTAAGTAGGAGAGAAGCGCGTTTCAAATATCAAGGATACATCGACATTACACTGTCACCTATTCGACTCTGACTGTTAGCAATGTTTAGAGTAAATGTGTATGATGTATATATCATGAATTGTATCTTAACACTAAGTTACTATAAAAAAAAATCATGAAATATAAAATATACCCTACTGGACAGTTACCATATTTGAAGAATAGTTCTTAACCTACCAAGGAAACTACCAAATGTCGGGGAAAATGAGTTTTCTCGTAAAGTCACCTATGATCTCTAAAGTATGAGAACTGTAATATACCAATCATTCTTAGGAAACATAGATGTGGCCTTGGGACCTGCCATCACATTATAGAGTACTTCTTAATGTACCGAAACCACCAATGAATATATTATAATAATATGCGCCTGATATGTACCAATATAAATTATGCTTCCATGTCCATTAGGTTTTCTTCACAGAAATAGGGTTCATTTTATTTTATTTTATTTCAACATGAAGACACTTGCTCCAGCCAATGGTTGTTCTTTTGCAAAATCGTGCATGAATAAAAACACATACACAATATATATACGAAAGCACATTACATACGGAAGAATGACTATAGATACAAATAATCGTAAATCCATACAAAATAAACAGATAGATAATGAAAAGAAGATAAATGTTATAAATAAAAATAAAAACAAAATATATGCATAAAATATAATCAGAAATGGACGCAGATAATATTTAAATTAAAGCGTTATTGGTCTATTCCATTATAACGACTTATGCCTAGGTCACATTTGCCGCAGCGGCCGTGTGGTCTGACCTAACTACAGCCAGTAGCAATTTACAGGGACGCCGCAGCATTCCCACGGTCACATACAGTAGCTGTCACATATGTAATGCCTGGATTACATTTGCCCCGGGCGCCGTACGATAAATTAGTCTACGATTTTTCGTGCGATTCTGGAGGCATCGTAGGAGGCTACGGGTTACGATGATTATGTTTACATTATCTGGGCATTATCTACGAGCATCGTGCCCTCGGGGGGGGGGGCAGGCCGTGGCATATTCGTACAGAGGCTCCTCGGAGATTGTAGGGAAACCGTGCAATTTCAATGCAGTAGTCGTGCAGTCTCCACAGCCTTCGCACGGAAATCGTACGGAGCCCGTGAAGCTTCCCTACAAAGGTTGCTGTGCAATGGCCGTGCGAATGCCCCACGAGTCTACAATCACTGTACGATTTTTTTTGCCCCCATGTTCACCGAAAAATCGTACGTTTGCTGCACAATCAGTGCGGGGCCTACGGGCGATGCCCGTGCGGGGATTGTGCAATGCCATTTACGACATGTATACGGGCTACGGGCTTACGATTTTTTCAAATTTGTTTAACTTCTCGCGAAACAAAATCGTAAAGGCTGCAGAGCCCGTGAATCCCTATTAAAATCTCACGGCCGCCTCCTGCCTCCGCACAGAGGCCGCACGGAAAAGGGGATACGGCCAGGATACGGGCCCCGTAGACGAATCGCAGGTCAAATGTAATCCAGGCATTTTGGTGAAACATAATCATAAAGGCCGCGGAGCCCGTGAATCCGTACGAAAACCTCACAACCGCCTCTTGCCTCCGTACGGAGGCCGCACGAAAAAGGAGATACGGGCAAGATACGAGATCCGTAGACCAATCACAGGCCAAATGTAGTAACCCAGGCATCAGGGTAGCCACACGGTGCCATTTTGTGGAATTTTGTTGAATTTGTGGAGACAGACAAACCTGCGGCTGCCGTACGGCCTTTGAGGTGATGACGCCCCACGGCGACCGTGGAATTCCTGCGGCCGCCGCAATCGCAAGGCCATCTCTACGGCATGGCTACGGCGAACCTAGAAATGACAAAAAAAAATAACTCCGCGTGATAATCTCACGGCGACCCATACGCCCTGTAAAGATAGGGAAACGCCCTAGGGTGACCCTGAGGCCACCTCAGATTATTTGCGGCCGCCGCAAGTACCTCTCGATTTCGGGGGCGTACGGCCGCCTTATCCTAGCCAAAAGCAAATGTGACCTAGGCATAAATGAAGTACCTAAGGTTATTCATTTTACATATGAAAATCGTAATTATTCATTACCTGTGGTCTCGGAAGTTTTGGAGAGTTTAGCTTTATATCTCTATACATCGCCATCAGAACATTGTATGGATCAGATTTCTATTGTTTGAAACGACATAAAGAGAGACATGATTGAAGTACATGTCGATTATAAGCTGCTTCTGACTTGCGAATTAATTGTATCAAAAGAAAACTATTGTTTATTAATATCGATTGTAATAATTAAGATTCTGCAGTCTTCAACATTTTGAAATTAATATCAAAACATGGTGACAGATTAAAGGTATTGAACGTCCTTACCATGTACAAAAAAGAAAACTTTAAAAATGCCGTTTATGTAAGGCAATCATTAAACAAGCGAAACGCCGAACATTAAATTAAGCTAATCACTTATGACCTTCAACCAAACAATGATGACAAACGAATTGCAGTAAAATTTATCATTTTTTTTATAAATAACTCGTATCACAGTGATGAACAAACGATACTCTTTTAATAAAATACACATGGATATTACAAAGCTACACAGGTATCCAGAATATTTCAAGACTGAATGAGTAATATTGATGTAGGCCTATTTAACAAATCAAGATGTAGGAAAATTCAACATAATTTAATTATTATAGAAGAAATCTAATAAAATAGACACAATTACCAAGTGGATACACATTGAATATATTTAACATGTGATACAAACGTCTGGTGAGGCATGAACCATAGACGTCCGAACTATGCAGTTAAAAACATTTAGCATATAATAAATCTAATTCCTATTGACTCTAACCTCCCTTCAATTTATTTGAAAAAAGTGGGTCAATATTCGAATGAATTGGAAAGGAAACAACCAAGTAGATGACATTACCTGGCAGTGATGACATTCGTCTAGGACAAGGAGTGCGATGTCAGAGAGTTTAAGCTTAATGTTCTCATCTTTGAGAGCGTTGACGAGCACCTGTGCCGTCAAGACGGTGATGTCGTTGGTATCGATGACGATGTCCAATGGCAAATGGTTCAACACATCACCGCTTGCTCCAGCGACCGCACACATTCCCCTCAAGTATTTCAGACACCTGTTCTTCTGTTGTTTCACTAGTGGAACCTGTAACAAAAGGAGGGATCTTTTTATGATGATGGTTTGTTTGTTTTTCACTGACTGATATGAATGACATGCTCGTTATTGGCAAACGACCAGGGGGGTCGACGCGACGACTTAAAGTCATATCATAGCAGGCGAGTAGCCGGGGGGGGCGGTCACTCCCCCCCCCCCCCCCCTCCAAAAAAAAAAAAAAAAAAACGCCTGCCAAAAAGAGAGAGAGAGAAGAGAAAAGGGAGAGGACGTAGGAAGAAAAAGGAGCAGACAAAGACAAGAGTCGAGAATGGTACAACGAATCGTCTTCTTTCTCTAATAATTTAATGAAACGTCGAAGCTTCCGCGCTTTGTGCGGGAGGGGGGGGGGGCTGAATCCAGAAAAGGATTAAGAGTCGAGAACGGTCTAACGAATCGTCTTCTTTCTATAATGATACATTTAATGAAACGTCAAAGCTTTCGCGCAGGAAACTGAATTCAGACAGGGATTAAGAGTCGAGAACGGTACAACGAATCGTCATCTTTCTCTAATAATTTAAAGAAACTGCCCCTCTGAACACCCCCCCCCCCCCTAGGGAGCGCGCACTCACTACCACCCCCTAAAATTAAATCCTAGCTACGCGCTTGTGCCATAGTCATAGTCTTATATTATATTATATTATATTATTATATGCTCTTTCACCAAGACTGATCGATCCATCGCACATCTGTACGTTCTAGCCTTTTATTTGTTTTACAAGAGAATGTTGCAAAGGACCTTTTCATTAATGTTAGAAGTTTGGACGAAGTGCGGAATATGAAGGATTTTTTTCACGTTATTTAGATTTTCTCAGGAATGGATCGAGGGAGCCATTTCTACCCCTTTTTCAGGATAATTTTTAATGACACGATAATGACTTGTGACGGCTTGTTCTACCTTGTTTAGATAATGACTACTTGGAAGGACCTTCTTACCTTTTCAACATGTCCAGTGGGTTCTCCTAGAAAGAGGTGTTTGTAGGAGATTTCTAGTACTTTGTTCGGGTTTTCAAGACAGGGATGTAAACATTTAAAGAGTTTTTAGTTGTTCACTGCATTTTATATTTATCCTTTTCAGGGGCTCTTTAAAGATGCACCCTCTGTTTTATATAGACAAGTATGAAGGATTTCACAATTGTGTACTGGGATCCTTATACAGTGCGTCCCAGAAAAAACGAAACCGAGAAGTATCGATGTTTTATCACAACTTAATCACAATCATAATTAATGAATGATACATATTCGGAAAGCTTAACGTCTCCTCTTTCAGTTGAGGCTACTCCCGTGATGCATATTTCACGCATAAGTGATTAAAAGCAATTTGAAGGAAGGAAACCAAAAGTAATTTGGCGGGCGGTATCTGAATTTCAAATATGCATTATCTGAGTAGCATCAAATGAATTAGGAGACTCTAAGCTTTCCAAATATGTATCATTCATTAATTATAGTTGTGATTACGTTATGATAGAACATCGATACTTCTCGGTTTCGTTTTTTCTGGGACGCACTGTATATGAGAATAGTTAAAGATATTTCTTGATTTGATAGAGATCCTTGCCAAAAATAAAGTGTACCAGATCGTTCTTGATAAATTTGTACTATTGTAAGACATGGCTTCGGAAGGACCTTCCTATCTTTACTATGGGTCATTATACAAACGAGGAGTTTGAAGAGTAATGTGAAGGCACATAGTTGCGATTAATATAAACTCTTTATAAGATGGGGCCCTGGGGTCCTTACAAGATTGAAATATGAATCAATGATTTTACCTTGTTCACTACGAACACACTCTTCTGCCTTCGA